ACAGGACCGCCCGGTGCCCCGAGACGAGCGTCGAAGGGTGGAAAAAGTCCAGGGACACGGGCGGTACCTATGCCTGCCCCGGAGAGTGCCTCGAAGGTCAGATAACCAGCTATGGGGCAGACGCCGCCCTGCAACAACTTCTCCACGTCCCCACTCAGGTCGTCGGTAAGCTCCGGTGACTCAATCTTGGGGGGTAGCCGTTCCACCGAACCGGGAGAGGAGGGCCGTCGTATCGAAGGAAGAAGAAGCGATTTTTCGAGTCATGGATCAACGAAGGGTAGTTCTTGAACAGCCTCCTTCCTGGACGTGCGGCCACGCTCAGATAACCATCAGAGTTCTGGGGAGTGATGCGGTAGAAGTAGTGAAAAAGCTCCAGAGTGGCAGTAGCTCCCGCAAGTTTGCAGCGCACCAGAAAAGCTGATATAAACCTATTAGAATTTGGCATAAATTGCGCCGGGGCCACCTGGAAGCAGTGGAAGAACTCCACATAGAATGAATGAAGTGGAAACCGCAGCCCGGCTTCGACGGAGTCCAAGTGGAGCATGATCATCCCCGGACGTCTCCTCATCACATGCTCAGCGCCTCTCACGCTCCAGACGAACGGCGGGGGGAAGAAAGTACGGATTTTGTTGAGAGCCACGCGGGAGAGGACCTGGTCGTGGTCAAGGGCGCTCCTGATCGGACAAATGTGGCGCTCCATGTCCATGGGGATGCCCAGATCATGTACCTCCATGTCAGAACCGGATTCGGCCTCTTCCCCAGAATCATAGTCAGCGGGGCGCTCATTCAGGGGGATGGCGTCGATGATGTCTACTGTCCCGTCAACATCCCCATCTCCGGAGGCGTTGCTCCCACTACCTTGGGAGGCATCATCCGGCTCACCATCAGCCAAGATGGTCCCCACCGTCGTGGCCGAACCAGAAGCCCCAGAAACACTAGCCTTTCCGGGGGAGCGCGCACCGGAAGCAGAAGAGGAGCCCGAAGAGGAACCCGACGAACCGGAACCAGAACTTGAAGAAATCTCCATCGAGGCCATCTTGCGCGAGAATTCAAAACAAGGAAAAGAAGCAGAGGAGGAAAATTACCTTACAAAAAAGACTAGCCGAACTCGGAAGAGGAGACTCGAGGAGCAGCGGAAATTCTAGAGCAAGAGAGCAGAAATTGGGAACCCTAGTCCAGAGGGAAAACCCAGCATTTATAGGAAAGGCGCCGAGGAGGGAACCAACGAGGGGTTGACACGTAGCAAGGAGCGTGGTCCGGCTCACGCGCTGTGCGTGGGATGGAAGCGTAATGATGACACTTCTTCGGGAAAATGCACCGCCACTACAGCAGCCGTCACCTCGTTTCCTGAACCGTCGACAGCTGTCGAGCACCATGACCACGAGCGTACGCTATCCGATAGGTGCAATAAACACAAGTACCAGGTCACGAACGTCCTACCCTCAGGAGAGATCATACTTCCTTATGTCCTGTGCATGCTCAGAACATCAGAAGTGGGGGACTTGTGTTGGGTTAATGGCCCAAGTCAGGGTCCGGCCCATTCACCCCTTCTTTACCAGACGTACGTCCAGTCAGATCACTGAGCTAGCCTAGCGAGCCCATGTCCTCCAGGAGGGACGAGCGTCTGCAGCAGGGGGTTGGGCTCAGCGGCCCATCCCGATGAACGTCCATGCAGGGACAAGGAGCAGGCCCACGGGTCGCCAGGATGACGACGAACGTCGTCAGAGCAAGCCCATAGCCATCGGAGACGGTCTAGCCCGCATGGCAGGAATCCACAAAGGCCAGGGGACAAACGGCCAGTACCCCCTGGGGGGCTACCTGGGGCAATCCAGCTCGCTCCCTGGGCGGACGAACGTCCCCACTAATTGGGCGGGAAACCTAGATTCTGGCGGGAAGCGCATTTAATGTTGAAGATTTGGTGGTTGAGGCACCAGCGGACCACAGGCTTCCACGTCAGTGTAGCCACCTGCCCATTGGTGGGTATAAATAGAAGCATTTATTTCATTGTAAAGGGTTGGCAACTTTCTATTCTTAGCACCTTAGCTATAGCATCCTTACTCGCATCATTTCTACTGCCTTGTAAGACGAACGGCCGACGTGCCTTTTTTAGCAAGTAGATTGTACTTAGGGGAGTTATTACGAAGTTAATAATACCTATTTACATTGCCTGCTATTTCCTCTGTTTCCTGATCCGTCTGACAGTTGTTGGGCTAGATATTCATACACTCATACACCCACTCCACTCGAAATCTTTGGGCTTACGTGTTGGGCCCGAGGGTTGAAGGAATAAACCTCAACAGATTCCCTTGTGTGTCATTATCAATAAGGTCATATAGCTCATTCGAAACTATAAAAATCTTTTTCTTAAAAATTAGTTTACTGCTGCTCAAGAGCTTTTTGTTCATATCCTAACCCCTTTATCTTCCATGTATGACCTTATTTTACTCTAAATCGTTTGATTTACTTATTGTTGATAATAAAAACATTCTCTATTTGACTGCTTTCATCGAACTCCATAACTAAAGCACCTAGACAGATGAAAAGCACTTATTGGCTGGTCCATTTGATTAATACATTCATTTACTAAAGTATGTAGCTTTTGGAACTTGCAAGCCTCCTTGTCTATCTTGGCTGGAACATCGTAGCAGTTACTATAGATTGGTTCAAAGAGGGAAGGTTGGTGGTTGATTATATTTTAAGCAACCTCCTTATGATGAACTCACTTGAGTTTCTTGCAGGCCATACATGATGATTTCTTTCGATCATAATTTTCCAATCAAGTGTCCTTGGAGCTTATGTTTACGGCACCGTCTTCTATGTCGTGCAATAAGGTGTGAGGAGTTGTATGCCTTTCCCTCCCTCTGCAAAAATAGATTTCCCATCAAGCATTCAAAATATTTCTAATAATATTTGATTTATTTCGTAGATGCGTCATTAAAAATGTCTTTGATCCCTGACGATCGTCACGCGCCATGACAACTATGGTCTAAAGCAGGGGCGGACCGTAGTACAAACTCAGGGGGGCTACCGCCCCTCCAACAAAATATATATAAGAAAAATAAATTTAGCCCCTCAAAAAATAACTTTCGCCCCCCAAAAATTATTTTGAACCCCCCCAACATGAATTTACTGGGTCCGCCCCTGATCTAAAGTATATCTTCACAATATACTTTTCAACTGATCATAAAAAGTTATATCTAGAAATGGATAGTGTCACTTTTGAATTGCATTCATAAACTAAATTAGCTCATTTAGAAAGTTAACCTTTCAGGATAGAACTTAAGTAAATGTGTAAATTGATATTCTTTTGCATTCTGTTATGTTCCACCTTCATCACAAGAAGTCTGAAATGTGATACTATGTGTAATTCAAGATTAGTTGGGGTTACTAGAGCCTGGTAAAAATATCGGTAACAAACATAATTGAGTATATTGAGTATATGGTATGTTTTCCCTCCGTCCCTATATAAAAGGCTTAGTTTGAATGACACACAACCTAAAAGAAATATTGTTTGGCACTATTTGAACATTGTTTTGCACTGTTTTGCACTGTTTTGTATGCCAAAAAGGGAAAGTAGCCTTTTATATAGGGACACCCCAAAAAGGAAACAAAGCCCTTTATTTAGGGACAATGGTAGTATATATGAATGACATGGTGGGCATAACAACTTTGTTAAAGAGGAAATTTTAGAAACATTAAAAGAAGCAAAATGAAGTAGAAAATTATGTCACTTGTGATTTCACCGTTCAACAAAGGTTGTAAATGTGAAGGCCAAGTACTCAAAAAATTTATTTCCAAGTACAATATGCATATTTGGAAAGAGCTTGCATTGGGCATTTTATCCAATCGCGCAACGCGCGTGTAAATAACTAGTATAAGAACATAAAATTGAAGAGGAACACTACATTTCCTACTATTAAAAATTTGTTTTCCTAGTAAAGAATACTTCCGCATTTCACCGAACAACAACATCATCATTACCCCAGTGCCGCAAAGGCTCCCACCTACGGTGGGGTAGGGGGGTAGGATGTACGCAGTCTTACCCCTGTACTAAAGCACAAAGATTGTTTCCGGATGCCTCATAGTGAAAATCGTGTAAAAAATTGCATGGGCTGTTTGTTGCTTCATAATAAAAAAGCGTGGATAGTTTATTTAATCATTTTGCTTTATTACATCATATTTTCAAGCCAAAAAATAGCGAATCTTTGATTCCATTGCAAATGATGGAAAACACTGAACAACATGTGAGCAGAAAAATAGTTGGGTAAAATCTCACTATATTTTTATAATAGCAGATTCTAATTTCACGATGTATGATCCCTAAGACAAGCAAGATTATTTGCAAGAGAAGGTATATGAAAGTACACATAAAACCTAAAACTACACTATATAAATCAAACCGCGATGGAATCGTAGAAGATAAACATAACACTTCTAACTATTGAAATTATGATTTTAGAGATCGTATGAACATTTATTCAAACATCATATATAAGAACATGGAATTGAAGAAGAAACACTACATTTCCTACAGTTAAAATTTTGTTTTCGTAGTAAAGAATACTTAAGCATTTCATTGAACAACATGTGTGCAAAAAAAATAGTTGGGTAGAATCATACAGTACTATATTTTTATAAAAGTAGATCCTAATTTTGTGATGTATGGTCCCAAAAAGTTCACCATATTGACTTTTCTTGGTCAATAATGAAAAACTTCAGTCAATAATTTTTAATGGTTATATTTGTATAAAATTTATACTTGCATGAAAATATTTTGAATAATGAACATTTTGATACAATTTTTTATATTTTAAATAATTTTATATTAAAAATACATTCGTCAAACTTGATTGCTATTGATCAAGAAAAGTTAATTTGAAGAATTTTTCGGAACGGATGGAGTAACATTTTATTTTATTATTAGTCCGTAGTATTTTAGGGGAAAAACGGAATAGTCACATTTTAATCTTTATGATTCCACTCTATTTTAATTGTTCCTGTTCGAACAACTCCTGGAGTTACAATCAACTTTATTCCAGACATGGTTTTTGCTTGTCCGTAACTACTTGCTGAATGCTGATCTAGCTTCCGATTAATGCTGACTCCATCCAATCTTCAAAAGAAAAAAGAAACCCAACCGTTCTCGATCTTGAAGCCCAAAACCCTACGAAGTGCTTCTGATTTCATCTGAGCAGTTGATTCAATTACCTTAATGACTTGTGCTGCCAGTTAAAGACGTTTGATTCCAATAATTATCGGTATGACAGTATGAACCAATTATTGCTCTTTCTTTTTTTTATCAATCGATACGATTGAGGAATTAGAGAGTGATATGGGATGAGAGGCTGGAATAGCATTCCGCATACTCTATTGGTTTTTCATATTTTTCTGGGTAAGCATGAACATTGTCAAAGGTGTTGCTGACCTTTTACGGAGGGGATCAAGTAGCTATGGGGGTGACACTAGGTCAGGGTCACCACTCGAGAGATTCTCTCCTCCCACTCCATCAATCCGATTTAGGTAATAATACATGCTTTTCTTTTTCTGCTTATATTCTAGCAAACAAATTATTCTTTGCATGTAGAACACATGCAGTGCTAACTTGTAAGATCAGTAAGGTGCTTACATTTATTCAATCTGAAGTCTGTGTTTAAATCATAGATAGACCAATGAACCTCATTTGTTAATTTCCCCTTTATAGTGAGATTGGGGATGAGTCAATTCTGAATGCACTCTGGGCACGGTACGAGAATGTCACTGATAAGGTATGTCAAAAGCGCCCCCCCACTATTATTGACTTCTATTACTTATGTTTTTATGCAACTATTTGGATTGGACTTGTTCTTTTCACAAGTTTAAGTTATTTAGCATAAAAATGTCAGCTCACGTGTCATGGTTACATTCCAGAGTCTTGTCAAAGTAAAATCACTTTCTAGGAGCCGAAGCTTTGCCACTCTCAATAATGATAACAAGGTGTCTATTATTATGCTTGCCAGTGTCTAAATAAAGGATTTATAAATCATCTTTATATTCGGCCCAAATTGTACTGAAATAACATGTTTTAATTTTTAAACTAAGTATCTTATGAAGTACATATGGATACTTGTTATTAAGTTTAAATGCCATATCATAATGAAACAAAAGGCACAATACATAAATTCTTTGATAGTTATAGATTGTAAAGAACACTTCCAACACATGCCAAATTTTCATGCGTAGTTAGGTTACTGAATTTGGGATGCATTATCTTTTTCATCTTGCCAGAAAACTTTTCAAGGTGTAGTGATTTTCATACCTGATCTGCATTTAGTTTTTTTAATCAAAGGATCTAACTAGTTCTGTCTGACTGAAAGTGCTCAGGTATTTTTTTTATTTCTTTCTTTTCAGTATGTAAGAATGATGGCATGACATTTTTATGTGCTGGTTGATGCATATTCCAAATGATAATCTCCATCTCCTCTTTCTGGTGCAAATTTAATATAAATCCTTGGAAAAACAGCTCTATTCTCTACCATCTAAAACCTTTTTCAATTTAAACTTAATTCCTTATGCAGTTATGCTTCCAGTAGTGTAACTTTGCTCGTTCACATCCTGCAACTTTTCTTTCTTGGCACCCAGAGACTGCTTTATACTTCTGGAGCAGGCTGAAACTTTTACATTGGCATTTAATGTAATTCTAGGATTTGGCATCTCACTAATTGTGTGTTTTTTGTAGCTGTAATTTATTACGCAACTATATTTATTATTTAGTTCCAAAGCTTTGCTCAATACTTCAATTAGATAAACCGTTTTACTTAAGCATTCATATTATTCCTCTATTTATAGCTTGCTGAAAAAAAGAGAAAATGATTATATCATACATGAGGTGTTCTGCTAATACACTTCTTTGCCTTTTCATTTTCCCACATTGGAGCGCTCATAAGTTGTTTAAATAAATTTCAGGTGGAAAAGAAGAGGTCTTTTCAAATTTTCTTGAAGCAATTCCTCGTTGTATTTAAGAATTGGGAACCGGTTAATATTGAACAATCTGTGGAGGGTATTTTATGTGCATCTACCTCGGAGGGTTCAAAACATGGCCCCGATGTTGTACTTGGCTGTTCATTTGGTCATCCTGCGGAAATAATTCTATGTTTAACTGAAGAGCTTGCACAAATAACCATCATTGTTAGTGAATGTAAGTTGGTGTTATATTTTATGGAGCTCTATAGACTATAGGTGTTTAAAAAAAGTTAGGAGATCTCACTGGCAGCAGCACCTTGCCATTCTCGTATCAAGTCTCTTCAATGCTTATTTCTTGGGTTAATGGACTGTTTGCCCCATGATTCTGTCAATTTTTTGTTTGAGCGTTTTCTTTTCACATACTATTTCAGTGTTTTTTCTTTCTACGGAGGGGCGGGCTGTTGGATATACAAAAAGGTTGGCAAATTCATACAAGTTCACTTAGCTAGGTTTAACTGTCAATAAAAGAAAACAGAAAAACTCGACCTGGCCTTATCACTCAAAGGAATATGTTGGTACTTTTGTACGGAGTACTAATTTTAGAATTCAATAATTGTTATGACAGAATGTTCTTAAGACGTGTCATCTGTAAATCTGTGTAAATTGCAATATTTTGGGCGTGTCTGCTCAATTGTTTTTAGGAAATGTAACCTTTCGCATTTGATGACTGTGTCTGGCAAAAAGCTTGAAGGCATATTTCTGTGGAAGAAACTCCTTCCCACAGTAAATTGATTCTTTGTCAATAATACATATTCTTGTTTCATCCTTAGTCCCTAAAGATAATAATATAATATCACTACCTCTAATATAATGCTATCAACTGCAGATCAGTTGGGAGCTTTCTCTACCTTAACATCTGAAGGTTTTCCTATCTTAGATGCTTTGACTGTTGTGGTTCGTTCATTGCACAATTGCCGACTTTTTGGCTACTATGGCGGGATCCAGAAGATTACTGCATTAATGAAGGGTACGATTTTAATCATGCTTCTTCTTTGACTAATCTATTCGTTTTATTGTGATTGTCTCAAGGGGACAGCATGACAACAACTGAACCTTCTAGGAGTGTTTTGATATGTTCTTTTACTGTAGAGATCACTCAATCTTGATCTTTCAACCTACATTTTTTACATGCTCATCATTTTCCCCTTTCCATTATAACCTTTATACCCGGAAGTCTTGAGTACATAAAGACTGAATATGTGAGCATTACTAATTTTCAGCCACAGTTGTGCAACTCAAGACCATTGCTAGTGCACTTTCAACAGAAGGAAATATGTTAAACAATGTTGTGGAGAGGACTACAGTTTTTCAGAATACTCTAGTGCGTGCTGTTTCTATAATAGGCAGCTTTGTCAACTTGCAGTCGAACATATATAGGACTCATCTAAACAGAAGTCACTTGGAGTCTTTTGTCTTGAGGGGTAGCATGGAAACAACTGAACCTTCTACAGACGTGAGTGGCGCTCTCACTGAAGTATTGTTGCAGTGGCATAAAAAGGCAGTTGTGTCTGTAATGGAAGCAGGTGGCCTTAATTGGTTAGTAGGTAAGGTAGGCAGCTTCATTTCTTTTTCTCCTCAGAATTCTTTTTTAGAACACGTACAGCATTTCAATAACTGCAACTTATTGTAATGTTTTCAGAACTGGGTGTTTTCTAAATATTAGTATCTGGTTTGATTTGTGTGTGATCCGTAGTTACAATAAATCAGGAAACTCATTTCTCTACTTAAAGAAACTTTGGGGTTTCAATGCTCTCCTTTTTATAGGATTTCTTGATGGAAATTAATGATTATTTATGGACTTTCTAAATAGAATTTTAATGGCATATCTTCGTAGCAACATGGTCTTTGTGATTTTCCGTAGTGCAATGCGTTGTTGGAAATATAATGCATTATACATTTTAATGTACTGATATAGTAATATGTCATTAGTTTCTATATTTGAGCACATAGATTATTTCTATCATTACTTATTTATAGAATTTATATGAAAAGTGCACACACACATAGATAAGGGATCAAATACAAAGTCTTCTTAATTTAGAAACTACAAACTCATCTTGGCCATCAGTTGAATTGATCTAATAGCTGGAAACACACGGTGACATTTTGGTAATAAAACCAAACTTTTTTCGGATGCAACACTTTGAACGTTAATATGCAACTGTTTATTTCATCGCAAAATAATATGCACCACTTTGAACATCAATATGAAATACAAATAACGTAAAGATGCATCATACAAAATTTTGCACGATAAAAACACTTTGTACCAGATCCACCCCCTATATACGAAAAGAATATGTATATACTCCCTGTGTGCTTTATTTTTGGTTTCATATTCCTTTTTGGGAAGTTCTATTATTTTTTGTTCCGTTTCCATTTTTTTGCAACTGATACCATAGTTTTCATCTTTACTTTTTCATACTTTTTCTACATTTTCTTCTTCTATTTTGTACTACAGTACTTTCATTTACTCTCTCCTACTTTTTACACTATTCACTTCCCCCCTTTATTTTACTCATAATCTTTGTCAAAACTCTATGCACAAGTAATAAACAATGAGGAAGTATACATGAAAAATATGTGTCCATCATTTGCAATGGAGCCAAAGACTCACTATTTTTTGGCTTGAAAATATGATGGAATAAAGCAAAGTGGCTCACTAAACTGTCTGCACTTCTTTGTTATGAAGCTGCAGTCAGTCCATGCAATTTTGGCGCGATTTTCACTTTGGGTCATCCGGAAACAGTCTCTCTGTGCTTTAGTAGCTTTAGTACAGGGGTAAGACTGTGTACATCTGACCCCCCCTTACCCCACCGTAAGTGGGAGCCTTTGCGGCACTGGGGTAATGATGATGATGATATATGTAAAAGTATTTCTAAATATACTTTTATATATTTATATATTTATGTGGTTTTCCACGTTTCTTATTCTATATATTTTTAAAATACCGTTCCTCACGTTTTGCGTTTTCTCACATTGTCCTTTAACTCCGTTTCATGATTTAGCTCTTGGCTAGGAGTCACTGTTGTACGCATCACCCAAAAGCCCTTTAGTGCCTTCTGAAACCCAGAATGCATCCATAAATAAAAGTTCCTTTAAAGTGACCTTAACATAGCATCAATCTTTGCTCTTCCTCATTCCCTTTAGATGTGTGAAGTATGCAATGGTTTTCATTCTTACCCAACTTGTTGTTATACTCTGGCTATCACTTCATCATTTACCTACGCCAATTCTTGATCCCTGTGAGTAACCATCAATAGTCGGTTAGGAAACAAAGTGCTCCCCTGATGCGTGTATAATCTCCATATCAAAATTAGGCACCATTGATGTGTCATTTGAAGTGGAATTCGACATCATCTGCTGTTTCATGCGACCGTAACTTGACAGGTGCATCCCTATTATTTCATTCTAAGAGTGGTCTGAGAATGGATTGGGGTTGGAAGAAACATGGAATGAGAAATTGCACACCAAGTGGAATGACTTCAAAGGGCTAACATATTGAAGATCCTCAATCAATTTCCAAACATTTATCGACCCTGGCTTGTTAGGGAGGATTATGAATTGACATCTTTGGAATGAGGAACTACCTTCCTTATCTTTTGGTTGACCATTTTTTATCAGGGCTTTGCCTTCACCAACCTCATTGCTTTATAGTGGCTGTTGTTAATTCTATGAATCTTATTTTACTTGGTGGGTTCAGCTCTACAGATGCAAATGGTGGAGGTAAGAGCAACCATGCCCCCTTGCATTAAGTGCCCCAGTTGTACTAGAGAACAAGGGCGAGTGTTGCAGTTCTGACACTTTCAGTTCTGCAGTAGATCAGGCCATTATTGGCAAAAAACTTCACAACAAATAGATCCAGAATAACATTTTGTATCACATGCTGAACTAATCACATATTTGCCTTTTTGTATCCTTTATGAAGTCAAATATCTGATTCGTTGACTTGTGATAAGGATGTTGATTTGATTCTATTTGGTGTGAAGTTAATTACCAATGATGGCTAGGAATAAAGATACTTCCTCCGTCCCACTAACATTAGGACATGAGGAGGTGACACGGTTATTAAGAAAAGTGAGTTTATGTGGTTGATATTGAATTGATAAAGTAAAAATAAAGTAAGAATGATTTAGAGCCACACAAACTCTACTAAATTTGGTATGTGACAATCTTAGTGGGATTTCCCGAAAAGGAAAAATGGGACAATCTTAGCGGGACGGAGTATTATACAATAGTTTTTCTCTTAATAGGCAAATGTATGACAGAAGCTTCAAGATCCCCCAATTAAATCTGTAGAGGAAAATAGTAGCCTCAACAGATCTAAGATGCGTAATAGTGTATATAGATAGGTTCAAGGCCATGCAATTGTGTTTATGTGATTCAAACAAAATGTCGGCCGGAGCTGCAGTGCCCTTGTTCTCCAACGTGATAGAGGGACGTTATCACACTGACCTCCTCCACAGACCACAATTAGTTCTCTTAAGCTGTACCCACTGAATCTGAATCAGATTTGAAGCATTAACAATGATCACCACAAAGCTATGAGATTGGTAGAGATGAAAACATCGTCATGAATGATCAACAAAAAGATTCCGAAAGTGGTTCCTAAGATCTTCATTTTCACTCCTCCTCATGAGCCATAGACCATCAATGCTTGGGAATTGATGGATGGTCTTGAAGACGTTAGTTCTCCTGAAACCTCCCCACTTTTTGTACAACTTCTTCTTCCATGTTTTTCACAACTTGATTCCATTCCCATATGATAGGTTCACTCTTAGAATGAAGATGATTGCAATCCACTTCTTAACATATTGTGGCAGGAAACAACCTATGATAGTGAGTTGAATTCCACTTCAAATGACACCCGGTTTGCAGAAATCACTTGGTACCTGCCATTGATGGCAACTCTACAGCACACATAATAATTGGAGACAAGTGAAAGTGACATTTGAGAGTAACATGTCGGGCAAGTATAAAGCCGTTGTTGACTTTACAAGTCTAAGGAGAGTACAGAAGATTTATGGGGACTTTTGTCATGTAAGGGTCGTTTTGGAGGAATTGGGGGTTAAGTTTAATGAAAGAGATTTGTTGATGCATTTTGAGTTTAATGAAGAATTGATAGAGATTCTAGGTGATGGCTACAACGGCGCCAGCTTGCCATGAATTTGTTGGTAAAAAGTACATCAACGGCTTTTATTAGATCAGTCAAATGCACAAGGTCTTCTACTCTTCTGTGTTTGTGCGTTGTAATAATTTTTCGAGGTCTATTTCCTTTTCTTATTGTGTAACTTAAACCCCAAAAAGTATTTTGAGGTTTAAGTTTTTTGATATTTTTCATCTCAATTTGTTGAAATAAATGTTGCTTAGATGTAGTATTCCTTAACAATATCATCTAGAAAAATGGTGAATGCACTCTTGTCCCAAGCTTGGTATGATTATTTACATGAAGTCATAGTTACCATATTTGTAAATACGAAACAAATATGGTGAATATTAAACATGGTGAATTTAGCCCTCTGTTGGTAAATATGGTACATATTAAACATGGTGAATTTACTATAGAAATTGCCCTAAATAGGAGTAAAAACGTTATGAAATTCCAAAATAGGATTATCATGTTTTTTATTTCCTGAATAGGAGTAATCTGCCAAGTTTGGGAAAAAATGCCATGTTTAAAGCCTAGTAATTCCAAACTTGGCAGAAATTTACTCCTATTCAGGGAATAAAAAACATGATAGTCCTATTTTGGAATTTCAAAACGTTTTTACTCCTAATTAGGGAATTCTCTCAATTTACTACTCTTATTTGCCTCCTTTGGTTGGATATTTAATTAACTTCATTAATTTCAGAGCTGTTACGTGTCATGAGGAGGTTGAATATTAAAGAACAACAAACAGATATTTTACTACAGAGGTTAGTTCTTGAAACTCTTCAATCAGCGCTAACTGATAATCCTCGGGGTCAGAACCATTTTCGAAGCATTGGGGGACTCGAAGCTATGTTGGATGGCTTGGGAGTTGTATCAAACAATGCTTTGTTATCTGAAGATTTCTCAAGTTCTGGCATGACGAGGTGAGTATTCTACTTATAACCGCGGGGTGTTGTGTACATCCTTGATTTATTTACATGAATAAAGACAAATATTTACGTGTTGTTTTTGATAAATGGGAATTCTTTTTTCTGGCAGGAGTAATAATTTCCTATCAGATATTTTCCACCTCCATGTTCTTTTATTGGAGGTACTTAGGGAGGCTGTGTATCCTTTTATCTGCCTCTTCGAGAAACTTAAAGTCAACCAGGAATTCTTTAGTGCAACCTTAAAAAGTCTTCTGACGCTTGAAGAGATATATTTACAATTGGATTTCAAATTTCCTGATTAAAACCTTCCATTTTCTGCTATTTTCTATTGACTCCCCGTAATTGAGATATTGAATTGTGTTTCTGGATGTATCGTAAAGAAGAATCTTTAAACATTCTCTTCATGATTTTGCTTTTCCATTCTGTTTGAGTAAGCTCTCCCAAAGAATCACTGATATCCTTAACCCAATCTAGCTTTGGAAATTTAAACAACATGCAGTTCCTATCAGAGAATGGAAGGGTGCACAAGTTTGCAAATAGCTTCTGTTCACTAGCATTTACACTTCAAAAAATCAGAATGGATGATGATGGCCCACTAGGCAGTTTTGACAATAGTGTTACAGCCTCTACTGAAGCTGAAGGGAAAAAGGATATATCCACAGTTGCAGTCAAGCTATCGTATTTACATAGTTGGAATGATTACGTTACCACGCTGTGCAGTGTTCTTTTTTCTTTTTTGCTTGCATCAGAGGATAGTAAATCACATAAAGTTCAAGCATCAGCTCAAAGAAGTAATTTGTCACTGTCCTCGGCTTATGTTGAACTTTCTGTAAAGTGGTTGATTAGAGTGCTTCTTATAGTTTTTCCATGCATAAAAGCTTGCTCGAATGAAAAGGAGCTTCCTTACCATGTAAGGTAAACCAAAGAAAGTGTGAATATTTGAATCTTTCCCCTTTTTATACCTAAATTAACTGTTTTCAGCTGATACTTGATGCCATATGTTTGAATTGGTAGATGCTATGCTTTGCATCCTCAAATTGCCAATTGATATTTTCTTTTTTAATTTATGAATTGCTTTCCCCGTTTTCTTTATCTCTAATCTTGGCAATAACTGATTTTCACAGGTTTTTTATACATGTTCTTCAGCGTTCTGTCCTCTCTGCATTCAAGAAGACACTGACTTTTTCATCATCACTAGTTGCGGTATTTCGAGCTGAAGGAGCCTGGGACTTCCTCTTCTCTGAAAACTTTTTTTATTTTGAGCTGGCTCCAGGGGAATTTTGTGGTTATGATGGACTCAGCTGTGAAATTGCACTGGCCATCAATGAACAACAGCATGCTTCAAATTGCACTGGTAGCTCTATAAGTCTTAATGAAGTTGAAGCTATTCTGCGAGAAGTAATTTCATTTATGGAATTTGTAGCAACTTCAACGGGAAGTTCACATAACTTGGTTCGCTCCGTCTCTCCCTCCCTCTTTCTCCCTCCAAAGCCTAATCTCAATGTCAGAGTTCGCAAGTGGCAGTTAGACACCACTTCGCTGCAAAGCAAAAGCTAATATTTATAAACCAGCGACAAAAAGAAGAATGTATTGATTGTATTAGAAATTCTATACTGTATATAGTATGAACAAAGTGAACATGCTTATATAGTTATATAGGCATGTATCTGCTTCCAAAATAAACATGCTTATATTTACCGTACACCACTGGCTGCATCATGTGCTAGGACTACAGTATGAATATGCTAGGGTTTTCTATATTTTGAAAGTTTGGTAAACAAGTATTGAAGTGTTGATTTTATGTTTCTTAACATATTTGTATGCTAAAGTTGTTGCTCTCTTGCATGGTAATTTCAGTGCATAAAATATTAGATCAATCAAATGTTCATTGCATTGCAAACAAATGCAATGGTGAAAAAGTAAGGTGAAAAATTCTAAACTAGGGTCTATATAATATGTGCAGTTGAAAGAAGAAACTTGATCTTGATAAAAAGAATGTGCACTTGAAACTTTGAAAGAAATTAAACATGGTTTTGTTAAAAAGTGCTGTACGTACATGTTTCAATGTTTTTCTTTGCAGTGGATAAGTCTGTGTCAACTCTTGTAATATTTCCTCATTTTAGACAGAGCTATATTTAATATACATCTGTTGTGGCAGCCTGAATGTGCAGTTTTGTTAGATGCACTTGAACAATGTGCTTGTAATCCTCGGATAGCTGATGCCCTTGCTAGGAGTCTGCTTCAAATATTGCAGCTTTCGTATGAGAAATCTATATCTTCTTTCAAGACACTTGATGCAATTCCCCGTGTTCTTAAGGTTGCATGCATTCAGGCTCAGGAGTCGAAGAGGCCTACCATAGGAAGTCCTCACATGCATTTAAGTCGAGTCAAAATGGAAACTTCTTTTGAGGAAGAAATGTTGATTTCTGCTGAGGCAGTCCAATGTTGGCATATCAGCATGGCAACTTGCATTGAAATCTTCACAACATACTTCTCTCTTACAGATGATGCAAAACATTTGATGTTGCGCAGTTCTGCTTGTGTTGATCGTTTGTTCGACTTATTTTGGGAAAGAGGCCTGAGAAACCGCATGCTTTCTTATATTCTTGAACTGATGAAGGTTACTGCCTTTGATGCTTCTATAGTTCTGTGTTTTTTTATTCTAGTGCATTGTCTTATGATTCTATGTTTGACTTCATTTTTTGGGGGCACAGATTATCTCTATATCTGAGGAAGACCAGAAAGCAAAACTTCACCTATGTGCGAAGTATTTAGAGACATTCGCGCATGTAAAGGAGCAAGAGAACTTTGTAGAATTATCGATTGACTTGCTTGTTGGAATGAGAGATTTGCTTTCAATTGATCAGGAGGTATTTTCCCCTAAGCATTATTATGTTTTGCATGTCACCAACATGGATATCCAAATTCTGTTTTGGACATCGGCAGTTTGGCACATAATGTCATTTCTGTTTTGCCAGTACTATCAGGCTTTATTCTGTGACCGTGAGTGTTTCATACATGTCGTCTCTTTGCTCAATGGGAATCTTAATGTGAAAGATGGTGAGAAGCTGGTTCTGAATGTCCTCCAAACACTGACCTGCTTGCTTACAAGGAATGATTCCTCAAAGGTACCTGTTTGTTCTGTTTCAGAATAGCATTTGATTTCATACTTCTTTATGGTACTAGCTGCTGAAGCATTATTTGAAAATTGCTAGATGTGCCTTTGTGTTGCTACAGTTTTTTTTTTTTTTTTTAAAAGTGTCACCACTCTGAACTTCATGTGATTGCACACAGAAAAATCCATTTTTTCGCTCCAAGTTGAATCGCTGATCTACTTGTAGTCATAGCATCTTTTTGTTACCTTTTTTTTTTAACCCAGTAGTGTCACAGTAGTTCTAACTTCTAACCAGTCAAGGAAGGCAATGGGTTTGCGAATATTTTAAGCAGTTTTATATCACATTAGTCATGCTTAAGAACATCTGTGAAGTGCCTTAGGTGTGTCTACAATTGTTATTTAATGGCGTGCATTTTTAAGTTATTAATTAATTAAGTATTTGGAAATTGGAATGTTGTGATTCTACTATATTTCTGATACATTGTGATATTTGTGGTTCATGGTTCATGCCTATAGCATGTAGAAATTGCTTATTCACATTATGTTTTGCTCTTTTCTTTTGAAGGCTGCATTTAGATCGCTTGTCGGTGTGGGCTATCAGACATTGAGAAGCATACTCTTAGACTTTTGCCAATGGCAGCCAAGTGAAACACTTCTGAATGCTCTGCTTGATATGCTGGTTGATGGGAAGTTTGATCTCAAAGAAAGCGCTGTTATAAAAGTGAGTCATAACAAATTTATTTTATTGACATGGGATTTTAGGGTTATTTTTTTATTTGTTTTGTTAAAAAGGCTTCTCATGTGTTGCATCTGCTCTGCTATACTATTTAATTCAGAATGAAGATGTCATCTTGCTCTATATGAGTGTTTTGCAGAAGGTTAGTAACTTATGTGGACACTTGGTGCTTTGATTTTTTCACTGCTTACCTACTGGCAGTTAAAAGTTTATTGTTTTAACTCTTACCGCTGAAATATTTATTTAATAGTGTAAATAGTATTGAATAATCTTTTTTTTTGTATTTCATGACTGGGCAGTGCAGTGGCTCTTTGCAGCAATATGGGTTAAATGTTTTTCTACATCTTCTAAGGGATTCAATATCAAACCGAGCTTCTTGTGTTAGAGCAGAGATGCTTAACTTCCTTCTTGATTGGTTTGCGCTTGAAGGAGAAGATGATGTAGTCCTGAAAATTGCCCTATTGATTCAGGTCATTGGTGGCCATAGCATTTCAGGGAAGGACATACGAAAAATATTTGCTCTACTTCGAAGTGACAAAGTTGGGTCTCATCAGCGATACTGTTCATTGCTATTAACCAGTGTGTTGTCAATGCTAAATGAGAAAGGACCAACTGCCTTTTTTGATCTTAATGGGGTGGACTCTGTAAGTTCAAATTGCCCCATCATGGCAAACATATATTATCTGATTTGGCTGCTTTTCTATTTTCTCTACAGTACAGAGTAATTGAGAGCAGCTAGCTATATTTTTTTTCTTTTATATCTTATTTGTGTGTTTAGTTTTGTTTTTATGAGTTTCACTTTTCACATTTTATTGGACTGCAGTTCAGCTATATATCATGCTATCTTCCCTATGTGTCTTTATCATCTCTATATGTGCTGCAGGGATTATCAATCAACACTCCAATTCAGTGTCCTTTGAGTAAAGGACTTTCCTTCACTTGTTGGTTAAGGGTGGAAAGCTTTCCCAGAAGTGGGACAATGGGGCTTTTCAGCTTTCTTACTGAAAGTGGAAAAGGATGCATTGCTGTCCTCACAAAGGACAGTTTAATCTATGAGGTAAAATGACTGGTATTTTGTTTCAGCTTGCATAAAGGAAATGTTAAATTTACTTTTTTGTTTTCACGATACAGCATATCTAGGTTATGTTTGGTTAAGCTTTTGATAATGAAAAGCATAATCTGCTTCAAGTTCTGGATCATAATCACTTGGGGTGTGGGGATAGACCCAGTTACAGTAGGCCAAAGCTAACAGTTCCCTGAAGCCTTAGAAATGAGGAGCCTATCATCATTTTGAATCCATCTGGTTGTCCTTAGTTTCTTAGCAGGGTAACAGACACTTACACTCGCAGTAAGGGAAGCAGTATGACATCATTGGGAGTTTAAGTGCATGGCATGTAAGGCTCACGTCTAAGACTGTTGATTGGTCGCATGTGGACCCGGTTCCGACTCAGAACCGTCATAAGTTTTGCTGGCATGGGTATCATTTAAATTACATTTACCCGGATCAGGTCATCATCATCATCATCATCATTACCCCAGTGCCGCAAAGGCTCTCACCTACGGTGGGGTAAGGGGGGGTCGGATGTACGCAGTCTTACCCCTGTACTAAAGCACAGAGAGACTATTTCCGAACCCGGATCAGGTCCTGTATTGAAAAATTTGAAAAGGGACCGGGTCTCGAATATTGATTTCTTGGACCCGACCTAAATAAATATTAGGTATAACACTTAAATGATATTACAGAAATATATAAATAATTCACACATGAAATTGTTGAATTTGAAAGTTGACATTTAAATAGTTAGTTTGTAATAATTATGTATTAGAATGACTACCTGGTTCACCTATTAATTCTTATATGTAACATTTTTAATTTTGTTTCAAAAGAATGATCGAGTTAGATTAGTTGATTTATAAATGAATACATTTTCACCCTATTGTAAAAAAATTAAATGATGCCGTGTGTAATATTTTTCAACTTGTGTAAAAAAGGTATAACTTGCAAAATTTTATCTTACCTCGTGTGTCAATCTAATCCGGATATGACATTCAGGATCTAAACATGAAATGAAATTATGGAAATCTTTGTGTCGTTTAGACTTAGATTTGGACCCGACCAAACCTGGACCTAATCTGGTTCGGATCTGGGTAGACAGACTCACAGAACGTAGACCTGGCAGGTTTTGAGTACAGATCTGAGTTGATATTTCTTGTCTGGAATTGTTATTTTTTACCCATACCCGACCTATAGCAGGCTTACTTGCATCAGTCACTTATAGAAAGCTTGCTCCAGGAATGCTGGTGACATCAACAAAGTGCCCCTCCTTGCTCTAGTATAAATACAGAGCCGGGGAGACCCCATAAAGAGCTTGACAGCTAGCTAATCTTTCACATTTTCTTTGTATTCTCTCCTTGGTGCTTTTTTATTCATGAACCCTTGAGATCTCATACAAGTTTCTGCTATTTTAGCAAATCAAAACTCCATCTTCTATTCCTTGTGATCTGATTCGTAGTGCTGGTCTCTCATATTCCCAAGAACTCGCCATAAGGGCCCATGGTCTTCTCGGTTGGATTGAGTAAATCCATGCAACATAATGTATGATGCATGACCTCTTACAAACATGGATAGATGTCTATTTTGCTAACCTCTAATTTGAATGATCTAACGAACTTAGTCTCTGTGTTTGGGCGTTTTATTAATGATCTAAATTGGTCTTCCTATCCAATTGTATTTCATGTTTCTCTTTTTACTATGGCTTGATAGTTTCAGCAATTTATAGGTTACATGTAATCTTTTGCAGTCAATTAATCAGAAGCGACAGTGTGTCTCTCTTCAAGTGAACATTGAGAGGAAAAAGTGGCATTTGTTGTGTCTCACCCATACAATTGGTAGGACATTTTCTGGGGGCAGCCAATTGAAGTGTTATTTGGATGGAGTTCTTGTATCATCTGAGAGATGCAGGTTTTCCTTTATCCCTTTTCATTTTATCATTTTTTATTCTTTTTTGTCGGTTCTAAGTTCTTTAAAAAACCATAGGAGAGACTAATAGATTTGGTGCACTTGTTCCTTCTCTAGTTTGACCTGAACTTTATGTCTGATTGCAGATATGCAAAAATAAACGAGCATTTGACTTGTTGCACCATTGGTACAAAAATAACATTTCCTTATGAAGAGGATAATTCTATGCTCTCAATCAAGGATTCATCCCCCTTTTTTGGTCAGATTGGTCCAATTTACCTGTTCAATGATTCCATTACTTCCGAACAAGTGAAACTTATCCATTCTCTTGGGCCAAGCTACATGTACTCCTTCCTTGATAGTGAAGTTGCAGTTGGTTCGGGAAATCCATATAGCAGTGGAGTTCTTGACATGAAGGATGGGCTTGCATCTAAAATTATCTTTGGGCTTAATGCACAGGTGCTCTCTCTGCTTTTGGAAATATGTTCACTCCAAATGATAGCTCTCTTGTTTTTCACTTACCTTTTCCTTATCACTTATCAGGCAAGTAAGGGAAGGATGCTGTTAAATGTTTCACCAATCTTGGATGCTGGGGCAGATAAAAGTTCGTTTGAAGCAACTGTGTCTTTTGGGACACAACTATGTTCCCGGCGGTTGCTACAACATATTATATACTGTGTAGGTGGGGTATCTGTTTTCTTTCCTCTGTTCACACAGACTGAGCTGTATGAGGATGAAGATAATAAGCATGTTTGTCAGACATTGCTGACTCCAGTTACAAGGGAACGTCTGACAGCTGAAGTTATTGAGCTTGTAGCATCTGTATTAGACGAGAATTTAGCCAATCAACAACAGATGCTTCTACTGTCAGGATTTTCAATATTAGGGTTTTTACTTCAATCCGTTCCGCCTCATCAGCTCAATTTGGAAACACTTTCTGCCTTAAAACATCTATTAAATGCGGTTTCAAGTAGTGGTGCGTTGTTTGGTTTCAGTTTTGTATACTGAATTTGTAACTTTAAGCTTGTTTTGTTTAGTTATTCATGTGCTCAGTTTGCTTATATTCTCCTTTGTTGCTGAATATTCTATTATTTTCGCAGGCTTGTCAGATATGCTAGTGAAGGATGCTATATCAAATGTATTCCTTAATCCACTTATCTGGGTGCACTCAGTTTACAAGGTGCAACGCGAGCTTTATATGTTTCTTATTCAGCAATTTGATAGTGATCCAAGGTTGCTAAGAAGCCCATGTAGACTCCCCCGAGTTCTCGATATGATACAACAGTTTTACTGCAACGATGTAAAAAGGTATTCTGCTATAGGGAACAAACCGCTTTTAGCTGTGACAGAAAGACCCACCAAAGATGAAATACACAAAATTCGTCTCCTTCTGTTGAGTCTTGGTGAGATGAGTCTCAGGTATACATTTTTTACTCTTCCTTTTAGGGGCGGGGGGGGGGGGGGGAGGGGGTCTGCTTCTCTGTTATGTTCCCAATTGCAATGTCATGTTTCATTGTTCAGTTGATCATTTTAACGGTCTCTTTTCTTAAAGGTATTCTTTGAATTATGTTTGAATGTGCAGGGAGTACATTTCAGTATCAGATATAAATGCTCTTATCACATTTTTTGAGAGTAGTCAGGACATGTCATGCATTGAAGATGTTCTGCATATGATCATTCGTTCTGTATCGCAAAAGCCATTGCTTGCTTCTTTTCTGGAGCAGGTCAATTTGATTGGTGGATGCCACATTTTTGTCAATCTTCTCCAAAGGTATTTCATCAATCTTTATGTGCTTGCTATAGTCCTTACTATTATGGCTGACCTTGTTAGATGTTGAGCACTAAGGAGTAGAAGACTAGAAGCTGCTTTTTTTCCTCTCTCTGTCCCCATTTGATCTTGCCTTCTTAACTTTTTATTGGTTGATGTCCACTTCGAATTCTCTCATCACATCTTATCTAATACTTAGTTAAGAAATGAAATCCTGGCAGTTTTTCATTTTTATTTAGAAATGTTTTGTTTTGAAAACTTCTAAGGATCTCTATAAGTTTTCATGTTTTGTTAAGTTTTCTGCTATCTTTTGTTTTGAATACTTTGCAGGAATGCAAAAACCTAATCATGCTACTTTTCTGCAATTTACGAAGTAAATGTGATTTTTTTTGTCAGATGTAAATTTATTTATTCACTTACTATCATGATCTCATCAGTTGTGGCACTATATGTCCAGGTTGATATAATCCCCATTTTCTGATTCTTCTCTGTGCTTTTCACCTTTCTAATGATCTTATAAACTTTACAGCACTATTTATTCACTAAAGCTAATCCTAAGCCTGTACTAGTAAAAGAAAATCACATCTTCAAATAGTTGTCAATGTTTATCAATAGCTGTAAGGTTTTGTGATATTTCTATCAATTAATGATCTGTTGAAAATGCATTATGAATAACTAACAGTGTTAAAACGGATAAAATTAAATTGATGCGCGGAAAAAATGGATACAGCGGGGTGAGCGAGTTAATATAGTATGGGTACGGCGAGCAGTATATTACATTCAGTGGCAATAGCAAACTGAGGTGCAAAAGAAAATATAAAGGAATACATTTTTCTCTGTACTAATGAAACTGGAGTGTGCAACATCTACAAGTTCTGGACCGTGTAGGTTGTGAAGGAAGAGAGTTCCTCAAATTCCATCTTCTGTATAAAAGAATCAAAAGATCCATTAGTGTTTCTGTCCACCAAAAGTCATCTCCTAATCCAGCCCCCACCCCCCTGTGTTTACTGCTTATATAACAATTGAGAGACCCATTAGTCTTTATGTTACCACCATTTCCCAACCTCTTATCCTGCCCCTGCCTCCTGTGGGCACTACATCTCCTTTATTGCGTATATTTGCACCTGAGCATATCAGCATCTAAGATATCTGTTTCTCCTGTTTATTTCATGCAGGGATTTTGAACCTATAAGATTGCTCAGTTTGCAGTTCCTTGGTAGATTGCTTGTTGGTCTTCCATCAGAGAAGAAAGGGTCGAAGTTTTTTAGCATTGCCGTAGGGCGACCTAAGAACGTTTTAGACAGCCACAAGAAAGGGAGTTCAAGGTTGATGCCCATTTTCTCAGTAATGTCGGACCACCTGTTCAAGTTTCCTCAGACAGATCTTCTGTGTGCAACATTGTTTGACGTTCTTCTTGGAGGTGCAAGCCCTAAACAGGTGGTTATGCAAATAAATCACATCATGTGTTTTCATTCAAAGATCCTTTAAGGAAGTAGTTACATCCACTGATCCACATGAGTATCATACAATTTTTAGTTAGCTATCTAATTATCTTATGTAATCCGCGTGTTTTGGCTTTCATCTGTCATGTGCTCTTATTGGAGTATTTGAGTGCTCATTGAGTAGGGAATTTGCATGCAGCAAACTTAATGAATAAACTATTTTTTTGAGCAGGTAATACAAAAGCATAACCAGCTTGACTGTCAGAGGAGGAATAACTCACAATTCTTTCTTCCTCAGATCTTAGCCCTCATTTTCAGATTCTTGGAAAATTGTGCTGATGCTACTACAAGAATCAAAATTATCAGCGATCTACTTGATCTTCTTGATTCCAATCCTTCAAACATTGAAGCCCTACTGGTATAATTATAATCTGGTTGCTCAGGGAAATTGTTGCTTAATCTATCTTTAATTACTCAATTGTGTAGAGTTACTTAAAACATCAAATTTCTAATTACATTATCATTACAGGAGCATGGGTGGAACATGTGGCTGGATGCTTCTTTGAAGCTGAATGCATTGAAGAACTACAAACTAAAGATACATATCCACAGTGAATATGAGATTAGTGAACAAAACTTTATTAGGAGTTTGTATTGTGTTGTTCTTTTTCACTGCATGCATTCTGTCAAGGGTGGCTGGCAACACTTAGAGGAGACAGTGAATTTTATACTTCTCCAATGTGAACAAGTATGCACATAAGTGATCTAACTCTTCTGAACAGCATGGAGTAACTTGCAGTTCACAGGCAGCCAGCAGCAAATTGCTTACTAGAATAATGTACTTGTCTTTGTTTCTTCAGGGTTGCCTGTCATATCAGTATTTCCTTCGGAGTCTGTATGAGGATTTAATCCAGAAACTGGTGGACTTTTCTACTGTGGAAAACACACTTGTGACACAGCCTTGCCGGGACAATATGTTATACCTTCTGAAACTAGTTGATGAGAAGCTTCTTTCAGAAATAAGTTATAAGCTTCCGGTATGTGACTGTGCTGAATACTGCGGCTTGTATTGCTTTATCTGGTTACTTTATAGTTTATATATTCCCAGTTTTGCTGTTTTTCCATCTGTTCGTTGGGCCGATAAAAAAGAGCATAGCTTGCGATGAATTGTTTATATGATTGTTGTAATTGATACAGAGTACAGTTGGTCTCTATTTCATTGCTGTGAATATGTATGTGCGTACGTATATATGGATATTATATTTCTGACCTTGTCTTACAGTTTCCAGCTAGCAGCACAAACTTTTCAACTGAGTTCTTAGAACTCGAAAACCTCAACGACCTTGATTCTGCCTTATCTGAGGCGCTGCAGGGAGATTTTGATGAGATGAGGTACATTTACTTTGACTTTCACCCCAATACTTTACATTATTTAATTTTCCAGCCAGTGATGATTTTGCAGATTGAATAAAACTGTTTATACCGCTTCTGTTGTCAAATTCATGCCTTCCTCTTTATACCTCTCAGGAGTATTGGGATTCAGAAGTTGAATGATACAGAAGAGGAGAAAATTGATGAAGAGTTGTGGAGCTTGTATGATAACCTCTGGAACATAATTAGTGCAATAAATGGAAAGGGGCCAAATAAGATGCTACCGAAGTCTTCCCCAGCTACAATGACATCCTTTGGGAAAAGAGCTCGTGGGTTGGTAGAATCGCTAAATATTCCAGCAGCTGAAATGGCTGCTGTTGTCGTATCAGGTGGAATAAGCAATGCTTTGGTAGGAAGGCCAAGTAAATCTATCGACAAAGCTATGCTTCTAAGAGGGGAGAAATGCCCCAGAATTATCTTTCGACTGATGATCCTGTATCTTTGCAAGTCATCCCTTGAAAGAGCATCTCGATGTGTGCAGCAGCTCATTCCCCTTCTGCCCTGCCTTCTTACTGCTGACGATGAGCAAAGCAAGAGCCGGTTGCAACTCTTCATATGGTACTAATGTTTACCATTTTAGGAGAATCCTCATTCCTCCACATCAATTCCTTGTAGTAATACATATTCAGGTAGCTTCTTTGAGAATACGACATAAATTGGATTTATATGTAGGGCCTTGCTTGCTGTTAGATCACATTATGGCATGCTGGATGATGGTGCTAGATTTCATGTCATTGCTCATTTAATACGTGAAACAGTACATAGTGGAAAGGTAATGCTAGCTACAAGTATTGTTGGTAGAGAAGATTCTGCTGATTCAAGCAGCTTTGGTAAAGAAGGAAGCTCAATTCACAACTTGATCCAGAAGGATCGAGTATTTTCTGCGGTGAGTCATGGTTTCAGTTATTCTATTTCATATGAGTTTCCTCCCTCTATCACTACCCTTCTGTGTTGTTACTCTGCTGCCTTGTATTGTTTGACAACTTCAATGTTAGGATGAACCGATCAAGTTAGATATCATTATTGTTTGTGGATCTATTATTTTCCTCTGTTTTTTATTTTGGGACAAGTCAAATAATACTATCTACTTGGTGTCTGGGTCCAAAGGTGCGACCAAGCCACCAAACTAAAACTTTGCAGCTCGACCATTTTACTGCAAAACATAAACAAAATATTCACCTTCTTCATTCAATTGGTTATTGGCTGACATCATCAGGACACCTATTAGGCTGTCTGGCGCGTATGTGGACATTTTAATACATATGGGGAGGAACACTATAACCATCACCAGTGATGCTGACACCGGTGGTTTTCAGTAGGTTCCAGTATTTTCAATGACGGTGGTTATTGTGGGTTATTCCACACCAGGACCATATGTAATAAATATGTTCACATAGGTCTCACACTATTCAGCGTCTTAGTGACTTGATATTATCAGTCAGTAACATTTCAGTTGGACACCTAATTGGTTGTGTTTTAGTTGTGGCACGGGTGCACTTATGCTACAAGTAAAGAGGCTTTTTTACCTACAATTGGGTGTATTTAGAATGTAAACTCCACAAATTGGTTGGCACCTGAGATTTTTTCTATGAAGTTGTACGGAATTCATCATAATCTTGATTATCCATACAGAATAACAGGACCCTAGTTATCTTTATTTTGTTGTTTTTTCCCATGAAATATGCGTAACTGATTTTTTATGTTATCATGTCCAGTTTTCTGATGAAGTAAAATATATAAAGAGCACAGAAGCTGACAGGATCAGACAATTAAATGAGCTTCGTCTTAGACTAGATGAACTTGCCATGTTTGATTCTAATCAAAAGAAAGCATTTCAAGATGAGATTCAGAGAAGTTTAATTGCCATTCTTGCCACAGACAACAAAAGAAGAGATTCTTTCCAACTTTCTAAAGATGAGGAGCAGCAAGTAGTTGCTGTAAGCATGCAATTTTATTATTATATTATGCTTCACCATTATCACCTTAATTGCAACTATGTTGGAGTTGACAACATGAATAATTACCCAAAGTTAGTGAACACTGTAAGTCCATGCTTGCCCTTCCTATCGCAAGCTTCTTATAAAGGAATGATGTCATGAACTTGCGAAACCATTATCATCAAATGGCCTACTTTCGCATGTCCAATATCTTGAGATGGCAAGGAGTTGAGCTAGTTGCAAGTAGTCATATCGCTCTCTAAATTTATATTGCATTGTATTTATTTAATTTTTCTTGGGTTAGTTTGTTAAACAACTTTTCTTGAACAGGGAAAGTGGATTCACACTTTCCGCTCTCTAATTGATGAGAGGGGTCCATGGTCTGCGAATCCATTTCCAAACAATATCACAAAATTCTGGAAACTTGATAAGACAGAAGATGCATGCCGTCGCCGGCAGAAGTTGAGACGGAATTATCATTTTGATGAAAAGCTATGCCTTCCTCTCTCTGCTGTTGCTTCTGAAGCCCATTCTCTTGCTGCTAATGATGGAAAATCTGGATTTGGAGCCAATATTCCAGAGCAAATGAAGCGTTTCTTGCTGAAAGGAATTCACAAGATTACAGATGAGGGCTCTCTTGAATTAAGTGATAGTGATGCTGAATGTAGTATTCAGGGGGTCCCTGCTCCTGATGATCCGACGGACAAACGGTCCTCAGAGGTTGTCAAAGAGACTGGTGACCAGACAAACATTGTTCAGGACCGAAATGATTGCTCCTCTTCATCAGCAGAAGCCGAAAATAGCGAGGTATAATAAATTTTGAAAATGCAAATGATTTGGATTGAATTATCACCACACATGTTTCAACAATTTCAGGTTCTCTTGACGGTTCGCTGTGTTCTTGTCGCACCAAAGAGGAAGTTAGCTGGGCATCTTACTGTCATGAAGAATTTCTTGCACTTCTCTGGTGATTTTTTAGTGGAAGGTACTGGAGGATCATCTGTTTTTAAAAACTTTGACTCTTCAGGTACGCTTGATCTAGGTAAGGCTGAACAGGAAGGTGGAAACCAGAAACAGAAACTACTGAAGTGGCCTGGCATTTCTGCTCTTGATTCTGAAAGGGGAAAAGCTATTGATAGCATAAGTGCATTGTGTGGAAATATACCTCAAAAGAACCCTAGCAATATCAAGCGGCATAGAAGATGGATCATATCCAAGGTATGAAAGCTAAACTTATTTGAGGTGTCCGTTATCCCTAAGCATTGCACTCCCTCACTCGCTCTAGCTCTCCCAGCCACTTACTCACTTCGTTCACTCACTCGCCCATGTCGACCACTCACCCACTCACTCATTCTTTATATTTATTTTTTTATTTGTTTGTTTGCTCATCCATCCTCTTAAAGCAGTTCAACTCCTTGAAGTGTTGAAATACTTCACTCACATGTCATTGGCCCAATTCACTCTCTCAAGTATACAGATAAATTTGCATATAATTGCTACCAATTGTAGGTAAAGGCTGTCCATTGGACCAGATTTCTGCTTAGATACACAGCAATTGAGATATTCTTCAATGACTCTACTGCTCCAGTGTTTTTGAATTTTGCAACACAAAAGGATGCAAAGGATGTTGGCAGTTTGATCGTTACGAACAGAAATGAATCACTGTCTCCTAAAGGATACAGGGACAAGACTAGCATGATTTCTTTTGTTGATCGACGTGTTGCATTGGAAGTGGCTGAAATCTCTAGGGAAAGTTGGAGGAGAAGAGAGATTACAAACTTTGAGTACTTGATGATTCTTAACACACTTGCTGGAAGATCTTATAATGATTTAACTCAGTATCCTGTGTTTCCTTGGGTTCTGGCTGATTATTCATCAGAGACTCTTGATTTGAACAAGTCATCTACTTACCGGGATCTTTCAAAACCAGTTGGAGCACTAGATCCAAAACGACTGGAGGTCATCACCTATGTTTCTTTTCCTGGCTCTTGAGCTCAGTATTTTTTTGGGTGGGGAGCGGTAGAAATTCAGTTGAAAACTTTACACCATTGTATCATAAGATTTTAATGTCATTGAGCTTGGCAGGTTTTTGAAGACAGATATCGGAGCTTTTGTGACCCTGATATTCCCAGGTAATCTGAGATATTTGTGTGGTGCAGTATTGCCTTGCAGTTAGCATATATCTTAACTTTAAACATTGTTCTCTGTAACATATATTATTGTCTGGAACATCTTTTGACAGTTTCTATTATGGCTCTCATTACTCGAGCATGGGAATTGTGCTCTTTTACCTTATTAGGTTGGAACCTTTTACTGCACTCCATCGTAATTTGCAGGTAACTCATTGGTTGCATAGCTAATGATTCCTTTCCGGTTCTTAAGTTATTCACTATGTATATTGCCTTTAATTGGTCCAGTTATTTAGATCGACTTTTTGTTACCAAAAATCACGCAGTCATGCAGCCATGCTCAAGTCTAGATAGGGTTTTCAGTGCCTGTAGTTGGTTTGTTACCCAATTTGTTGTAATTAGCTTCTTTTGCAGCTCGGTTGGTTATCTTTTAACTTACTAAATTCTTCACATTTATGTGGCTTTTCTATTATAGGGTGGCAAGTTTGATCATGCCGACAGACTTTTTCAAGGCATCGAAGGCACATTTCGGAATTGCCTTTCTAATACTAGTGATGTGAAGGAATTGATACCTGAATTCTTTTACATGCCAGAGTTCCTCATCAATTCAAATGGATATCATTTTGGAGCGAAACAAGATGGAGAACCAATATGTGATGTTGTGCTCCCTCAATGGGCTAAGGTATTTGTTCCATCTATTCATATTTGTGATGATTTGCATATTTAGGGTGACATCGTCCTAGTATTTTTGTCAATTCTTGTTGGGTCATCTTGGGGGAAAAGCAGATATTAGTTCTTCAGATGTAGTATTGTACCGCCTCCCTCTTCCCCCATACCATTTTCCTTATCAAAATTTCAGCCTGTGGCCTAGCACCAAAATTATGTTTATTTTATTAAGCTATTTCACACCGGTTGCATATAGAATTACAAACTAACATATAATGCTTTGAACTACTCCTCCAATGTACTTTTATAATGGAACCCCAAGTCTAATATGGTATCAAATCCAATTAAGCTTCAATGAGCAATTAGATCATGATAAGCCTCACAACGAGCAAATGAACTACAAGATTGGCGTGCTTCAACGAGCCACAATCTTACGGGGATATTAAAATATCGGGAAAATGGTCAAATAGGCCCTCGAACTTACATAAAAATGTCAAATAAGCCCTTATATAGGAGGCTCTGTCCGGCCGTCGCCATTTGGGGCAGTTCCCAGTGGAATTTTTTAATGAATTTTTTTTAGCATCTTATTCATTAAGTCTAGTTTACTCATACCAAATTTCAGTTAACAATTCAATCGGTAAGGCATTCAAATGAATTGTTGAAGATAACTGCGCTTTTAACCGCGCAGTTATCTTTAAGAATTCATTCGAATACCTTCCCGATTGAAGTGTTAGCTAATATTTAGTATGAGTAAACTAGACTTAATGAATAAGATGCTCAAAAAATTTCATCAAAAAATTCTACCTGGAACCACCCTAAATGGCGACGGCCGAACAGAGCCTCCTATATAAGGGCTTATTTGACTTTTTTTATGTAAGTTCGAGGGCCTATCTGACCCTTTTCCCTTAAAGTATCCCACACTGGTTGCATATCAAAATACAAATTAACATATAAAGCCGTGAGCTATTCCTCCTATTAGGTTGACCTTTTAGGAAACTAAGTCTATTATATTTCATATCTTAAACTTCACAAATTTTTACTTTCTGATTTTATCCTTTCACTTTCTTACTTGGTGAGCCCTATATTCTTTTCTTGTTTTCTAAAAGGCCAAAATAGTAAAATAACTAACACGTCTGAGATAAGTTAATAGGTCTGGGCCCTACTTTTATAAATAGCACACCAAGTGTAAATATATCCTACATTATGGGACATAGGGAGTAAAAAAGGCTGAGCCCAATAACACCCAAAAAGTCAGTGATATGGCTTTGAAAATTAAACCCATGGAAGCTTTGTTATTTTCGGGTGGGGACACCAACACATGTGAGCTGCCCATCTTGTTGGGAGTAAGAAAACCGGTCTGGGCAAGTCGGTCTTGATGGGGAGGTAGCCAAGGCCCTTTCCGCCTTGAAGATATTTAAAACTTCATAATGAATAATTTTTAATCCATGCTATATCCAAATCCTTCATAAAATTATCCAAAACAATTTAAAGAGCCTTGGAATCACCAAATCACTGCACCAATATAGCAGGTACCATTTGGTGACATGCATAAGTTCTTCGATATTTTGTTTGATGTTAGTGTTAAGTTTTGTTATTAAAAGTTGTTGAGCTTGGAAATGATGATGTTATATTATTAATATTATTAGTATACATTGACATCTTACTAATTTTTCATAAAACAAAAAGTTTTGGATCATTTTTAATTTTAAAAACAATCCGAGGGACAGCTAAAGAGTATGCTACCCGAAATATCAAGGAAAAGGGACTAAAAGTTGGACCCTGTAAAATCCTTCTCGATCAGGATGTCCTGGCCAGACTGACTTCTCTAACTGTTCATTTCTATATTTATTTGATGGACATTCTTTCGGTGTACTCAAAACATGCACACATTCTTTTGAGAATTCTGTGAAGAACTTAGCTTAAAATCTATGCACAGGGTTCTCCTGAAGAGTTCATTTGCAAGCACAGAGAGGCCCTTGAAAGTGAATATGTTAGCTCAAATCTTCACCATTGGATTGATTTGATATTTGGTTATAAACAGCGCGGGAAACCAGCAGTTGAGGTAACACCTAAATTCTTGTAGGGTGGCAAATCTAGAGTCACATCTCGTTTCATTCTCACTGAATTTTTCATAACACCATACAGGCAGCAAACATATTTTACTATGTAACGTACGAAGGCGCTGTTGATCTGGAGACAATGGAAGATGAATTGCAAAGATCAGCAATTGAAGATCAAATTGCTAATTTTGGCCAAACACCAATTCAAATTTTTCAAAAAAGACATCCTAGGAGAGGCCCGCCCATACCTATAGCACATCCTTTGCGATATGCACCTGGTTCTATCGACTTGACCTCAATCGTATCAAGTACTAATAATTTACCATCAACAGTGTTGTATGTCAATGTGTTTGATTCTAGCATTGTCCACGTGAACCAAGGTCTCACCATGTCAGTTAAGATGTGGTTAACAACCCAATTGCAGTCTGGTGGGAACTTCACCTTCTCTGGCTCACAGGTGCTCCAAATTGATTCACGTCTTTAGGCCACCTGAATAAAGCAATAGTCAAAATGATTTTACGGTTTCTTGATTTTTTTTCAGGATCCTTTCTTTGGAATTGGTTCTGATATCCTTTCTCATCGGAAAATTGGGAGTCCTCTAGCAGAAAATATCGAACTTGGTGGACAGTGTTTTGCAACACTACCAACACCATCTGAGAACTTTTTAATAACATGCGGTTCCTGGGAAAACAGCTTTCAGGTTATATCATTAACGGATGGAAGAATAGTGCAGAGCATTAGACATCATAAAGATGTTGTGAGCTGCGTCTCAGGTAAGACTTCATCTTCATGTGTCAATAATGTGTTTCAGAATTAACCATACATTATAGTATGTTAACTATTTTTGGGATAGAAAGCGTGTATGTATAAAATCAATGAGTTATGCATATACACTACTCTGAAGTCTGACCTTGCTTATCGAGTTATCGGACCACTTGGATGTGCCTATAACATAACTTCTCTTTATCCCTGAAAGTCTTTTTTGAACAATGAGCTTAACATTTGAACTACACAAATATTGCAATTGACTCTCAACCTAAAAAATGAAGCTCCAATGGACTTCAGACTAGAAATCCGCAACAATTGAGCTATTTGAAAGTTAGACTGATGTGAACTTCGTTTTTGAATCATGTTGAATTTTTTAAGGAAACTTATGTGTAGATTAAGTTAAAGTTAATAATAGAAACAATAGTTACATCGAAGGAAATTGTCTTCATTCTCCTGTGAGACCACAAAGGCAGCGTTGGGCTGCTATCGTAGTTATTTGGCTTTGCCTTTCCTCTTAGGAGGATGTCAGCAACAAGCTCTCTAACAGGAAGTCGCCTCTAGCATATTAGTTAGAATATCGAACTTATTTTTCGGCAAGTGTCACATATTAGTTAGACAACTTGTTGCTGAAATGCTGGATGGTAACCTAAAAAATGTGAGTTGCACTACTTTGGCATCTTTTGCCAATTTCTGGAGCTCAGTTGCACCATTCCGCTTATTCGAGGGCATATTTGGCATTCTCTTTTATAAAAATATGATTTGAAAATAACACACTGAGTGCAATTATGATTCAGCAAAGCTTGTACTGATTTATCTGTATTAGATGTGGAATTGTGGAGTAGTATGCTATATACCTTTTGCCAGCAGAAAAATTGTTAATGCCCTCTTTATGTATATTTTTTATTTCCTTTTAGCATATTAGGTGTTCCACAAAAATGGCACTTTGTACGCTATGTAACATAAGAATTACTTGCAGTGTCATCGGACAAAACCATCCTTGCCACGGGAAGTTATGACACAACTGTTATGGTCTGGGAAATTTCTCGTAGTAAATTCCCTGAAAAGCGAGTTAAACATACACAACAGGAGGTCCATCACATCATTTCCGAGACTCCATTCCACATACTCTGTGGACATGATGACATAATCACTTGTTTATATGCAAGTGTGGACCTTGATGTTGTTATTAGTGGATCAAAAGATGGAACTTGTGTCTTCCACACCCTACGTGACGGCAGGTATGTAAGGTCCATCAGGCATCCATCTGGCAGCCCGCTAGCCAGGCTGGTAGTTTCTCATCATGGACGGATTGTTCTTTATTCTGATGAAGACTTGAGTTTGCATCTCTATTCCATAAATGGGAAACACATCACATCTTGTGAATCCAATGGCCGTCTCAATTGTCTTGAGCTGAGTGGGTGTGGTGAGTTTTTAGTTTGTGCGGGTGATCAAGGTCAGATTATCGTGAGGTCCATGAGCTCTCTGGGAATCATTAAAAAATACAATGGCATAGGCAAAGTAGTCACTTCACTGGCGTTGACACCTGAAGATTGCTTCTTAGCTGGGACAAAAGATGGGAATCTTCTTGTGTATTCTATAGATAATCTTCAGATTCGGAAGCCGAGTTGTCAACAAAGTTTGAGGCCCAAACCCTCTCTAACATGATGGTTTTCGACATCCATGGCCAAGTTTAGTTTAAGGTATGCTGTTCACTTGTGATGAAAAATTGAAACATCGCACATTTCTTCCTTTTCTGCTGATGTCACTTAAATAACTGGAGTATGCATGTGTGTGCGATTTCAATTTTTTTTAAAAAAACACATGTTTGGTTACGGCACATTTTTAAATTTTGGTAAAACACTATCCTTGAAATTGTGAAATCCTACTTTTAAACATGTTTGTTGGTTTAACTAAGTTTATCAAAGTTATCATGTTTGTAACTCCTTTTTGGTACTTGAAAACTTTGTTTCAATTGATAAACTATGGCTTTTTAGGACAAAATAATGAAACAAGACCTTCTTTAGGGATGCTGTTAATTTTTAAAATAAAATGTATGGAAACGGTGGTGCATTTGTAGATCTGTAGTGTAGGAAGACCAAGTAAGAATTAGCTCAGTATGAATGATAAGGATTACCATGAGGAGAGTTGTACGGAGTACGGTTTCACTATTTCTTTCAAGTTCGGAGAGTTCATTCCAGATCTACATATCCATTGTTTCTAAATAATGTCATGCCATTGAAATGATTAACTTAGCCCTCCAAATCCGTCGTCCAAACTGACCCGAAAGAGTAGCTAGCATTTTCCGTTTAAATTATGCAAAACCAAACCATCTTGGTTCCTAAATTGTTATGATATTTTTTGTCTTTAATGTGAGTACACTCATTGAAGTTCTGACCATGATTTAAAAATGAACCCAACTGAAAAGAATTAATAGATAAATTTTACTACGTAGTTTTCTTTTAATGCCTAATTTGTGGCTGCAATTTTTGGAAACAGATTGTAGAAATGACAAAAAGAAGAATCATATCTTGGACAGTAGGTCTCATTGAGGGATTGCGGTGACAAGAGGAGGTCCCATTGAGGTTGTGAATATGTTATCATTGTTATTATTATAATCCCAAGTATTTAGTCATGGGATTTAGACGTCTTCATTCTTCGCTATTTTTTGTTAAGATATTTTTTCTTCAATGTGAGTACACTCTCATTGTGGGGCCTCAGCTTCATGCTCCAACGTATACTCCGTATTTTCTTCATCATGTACGGAGTATTACATGTGTTTGTAAATTGTAACACACACACACACTACACTTTTCACCAGTGGAAATGTGGAATGATGAAAATTCAAGTTCCTCAAATTTTGGCTATATGGAATTTAATGTAAAGACGTTTCCTCAAATTGCATTGCCCTTCGGAAACGTGTAATTTCTCCCAGTCAGCCTTGTTCTCTTTTGCTTTTATTTTGTTTGTAGACAGTATAATTTTAATGCCAAGATTTATTTATGTCGAGTGTAGACAAATAAAATCACTCAGGGTAATTTTGAGAAACACGGAACAGTTCATTTAGTGGGTCTGTGGGTCTGGGTGATATTTCTTTACTAGTTTACTTTTGCATAATTATCCACGAAATAACAATCATTCCAGTTTCATTCACCCCTATAATATATAATGATTTAATAATATTTATTTTCGACATGTGATGATGTGAAGCATTAGAATAAAAATCCTACCATCTACTCTTTAGATATTACATTTTCACCTCTTATAGATTGTCAATTTGTCATCAGTCTTTCCTTGGGATTTCCTTCGAAAATTGAAACTAAACATGTTACGCTAGTTTGGTAGTTTACAGATTAAAACTTTACATGTAAAGTGATTGCATGTAAAGTTTAGGACTAGCGCTGGACTCGGGCCGGGCGGCCCGAACCGGAACCGGCCCGGCCCGGTTACTGTGTGGCCCGGTCCACCGGCGGTTCGGGTCGAACCGGCCCGGTGGATACCGGTTCCGGGCACGGGCCCGGGCCCTCCATTTGGTGAACCGGCCCGGCCGGTTCGGGCCCGGTCCGGGCCGGAATAATTTTTTTTTATTTTTTTTTTGATTTTTTTTTTAATTTTTGGGTTGGATTAGGTATTTTGGGCCATTTGAGGTGGTTTGGGGTTGAGGGAGAGGGGTAGGGGGTTAAATAAGAGAAGCCAAAAAATCAAAAAAAAAATGGGGCGGGTGAACCGGCCTGGAACCGGTCACCGCCGGTTCGGGCCCGGGCCCTCCTTTTGGTGAACGGAGGCCCGGCCGGTTCAAGGTCCGAACTGGGCCTTGCCCGAACCGAGTCCAGCCCTATTTAGGACGGTAAAATAGTTTTCGTGTAAAATAGAAATACATTGTTTGGCATCTTTATTCGTCATTTAAAACATCTAGCAATAAAAAACACAGGGTATTACTCCGTATAATATAAAATAAACTAGGGTTTGATGATATGGTGAGATTTCCAGATGATAGTTGATGATGGTGAAATTTGGCGATGATTTTGTTTTTTTATGATCGAAAAGTATATAATCATGATGATGCAAAGAAGAGACCCAAAAAACCATGATGCCTAGAGTTAGGGGTGGACTCAGGCCGGTTCGGGCCTGGGCACGGCCGGGCCTCGGTTCATGAAAGGGGAACCCCTGGGTCCGGTTCGGGCCGGGTCGGGCCGGGTCGGGCCGGGCCTCGGTTCTACTTAATTTTTTTTTGGCTTTTTCTAATTAACCCCCAACCTTCCCCTCTCACCCCCAAACCACCCCAAACCACCTCAAATGGCCCAAAATACCCAACCCAACCCAAAAACTTAAAAAAAATTCAAAAAATAAAAAATAAAAAAATAAATAAATAGGCCCGGACTGGGCCCGAACCGGCCGGGCCGGTTCACCTTTTCAAGGGCCCGAGCCCGGCTCGGAACCCCAGTGGGTCGGGCCTACCCGGACCGATCCCTGGCCGGGCCGGCGGTTCGGGTCGGTTCAAACAGTGACCGGGCCGGGCCGCCCGGCCTGAGTCCACCCCTACCTAGAGTATTAAACAGAGATAGAATGGGATTTGCCGATGATGGTATTGAACCTTGTTTTTTACACGGAGTATTGGAGAAAACACTAGGCTTTTGCTGCACGAATTTTCCTTTACCGCCAAGTTCCGGCGTATATTCATTCTCCAAATTAAAGGATGTAAAATAGTTTACTACCTTCCCCCACGTAAACTATTTTACATGGTACAATGTAAAATGTTTTAAAAAAGTGTTACAATTTACATTAAATATTTAAAACAGATAGTGTAAAATGTTTACGTTCCTACATATTGCACGCAAAGTGTTTATTTTACACCATATCAAACGGGCCCTAAATGTATATCGACAATTACAATAATAATAATAATAACAATAAAAAAATAATATGAATGGGATTGCAGAGGGGTATAATCTCTGTTTTAACTTTGACTAGGCTGTGCGGAACCGGCCCAGCCTGGGAAACTGGTTCCGGTTCCGGGCTTAGGCCTGGTCCGAGGGGATAAGCGGTTCCGGGTCATGAAAAAGGAGAACCGGCCCGGCCGGTCCGGGCCCGGTTTGGGCCTTTTTTTTTGGGTTTGGGCTTGGTTTAGGTGGGTTGGGTGTTTCCGAGGGGTTTGGGGGGTGGGGGTTGAAATAAATAAGAAAACACAAAAAAAAATGATCCGGAACCGGCCCGGCCCGGCCCGGGACCAGTAGACTCCCAGGCCGGTCCCGGGCCTTACCCATAACCATCCAAGCCCGGCCGGGTCCTGTCCACCCCTAACTTTGACTATCATCTAATCATCCGGAATAGGTTATTAGCTGAAGAGCTAACCTTAACCCGAGTTTTTTTTTTTAGTTTTTAACCCGAGTCTATTAGTCATTGATAGTTGGCAGTTAGAGAGGATCAGAAGACACTGATAAAAAGGTAAATATGATTGTTGATTGACCATAGAAGAATCATCATTACCAATTTAACACTATTCAAGTATTCTTATTCTCATTTCCTTTTTTACTGCTCACAATTGACCCGCCTTTACTACTCTGGTAGTGGTAGTCTGGTTAGCCTGATTTGTTAAGCTCCTATAATGTCTATTACGGAGTATATGAGGACATTTGGTGCGGATGTTTTTATTATTATTATTATCTTGAATCTCTTTTTTGTCATCATCACTATCATGATCATCTCCGAATCCTCCGGTCTTCTCTACCACTATTTTGAAAAGAGATTTATTTATCTTAACATCAATAAAACATGACTTTTTTTCTCGAAATAGAACTAAATAGTTTAAACATTCTCAAAAAGGATTTTTTTATTTGTGATTACACCAAAATACCCTCAATGCTGCCCTTGGATTGCTGCCGAGCACCTGCCACCGACCACCTACTGCCGCTGACGCCAGAGCTTGCTGTCGCTATCGTTGTGTTGCTGCCACCACGGGCCTTCCCCCGCCACCAACGGACTGATTTGCTTGTGCAAGAGAACTAGTGTTGGGATATATTATCCCGGCCTATTACTGTTCATGAGTCCAAGGCTTTACGTAGTACGAAGCCCGAGCAGCTAGGCCCATTTCGGCCCATCCGGCCCACTGTAGCCATTTGGGCCCACTCCGGCCCATGCGGCCCATTAGGGTGGAGAGCATCCCCTTCCCCTATTCTCTATAAATATAGGAGTTTCCCTCCATATTATGGATCCCTCTTTTTGGCTTCCTTCTTCCTCCTCCCTCTAGAATAGCTCAAATACTCCATTAATGGAGCTCAAAATGTACTATGTAATGGTGAGGAGAGTCCTAATGAGAAAGAGAGGGCTTGGACATTAGCCTAAAAAGTCCCGTGGTTTTCTCCCTTTCGGGTTTCCACGTAAAAACTGAGTGTTCATACATATATTTACTATATCGTGTTGGATTAAACTCAACACTGGCGCCGTCTGTGGGAATCTGTCAAAAAAGATTCATGTGTTCTACACAAATTTCATACGAAAAAACTATTGATTTCAGCAAAAAAGAAGAAGGATTCTGGGTTTTTGGATCTGGGAGAAATCCGGATATAAGACAGGGGTGTCCGGCAGCACCAGTGATGGCGGTCCAACTAACCAGGTTCTCCGTCGGAAGAGACTGTTCGAGTTCGCCGCCGAGGCTACGCCGGACCTCGCTGCCACTGCTATTGCGGACCTCGCTGCAACCAGAGCACTAGAGGCGCCCAATCTGGCGGACCTCACGAGCCTAGCTCCTGAACCCATCTACAGGAAAAGCAAGCGTCGAGGAGCTCCAGTCCTAGAACTTGCCAGATCTCGGAGGGGGTGTTACCGCCGGCGTGCGACAGCTGAAGCTTCACCCCGCCAACCGGTGAACCATGTCCTCACCTCCGTCGCAGCTCGACCTCCAGCCAGGTGCCTGTACCTCCGTCATCTGGCCTTGGGTGGGTGAGCCGGTGTTTCAGCTGGCTTCTCGGATGATACGGAGTACTGATAGTGCTCGAAGGCCTTGGTCCTCAGGAGGCCACGTGAAAGGAAGTGAATGGTGGCTGAGGGATAAGCTTTGGAGCATTTTGACCAAGTCAAATGGGGGAATACCACCATGCCGAGATCCTCTTGGCTTGGACGTACGTAAACTTTGGGATTTGAAAGTGGCTAAATAATTGGAGTCTTGGCTCTTGGGTATATCGTGGAGAGTTTTGACCGAGTCAAACAAAGGGGAAGCAAAATAATTTCAGAAATTTCTAGCAGCCGAGCCCCATCCAAAGCTAAGTTTCTAACTTCTTCACCTTTTCATTAAAGCATGCGTCGTAATTATTAAAGAAGTAGAAATATTGCTACTAATTTTTATCACTATTATTTATTAGGGATTAAAACTCCCGAAATTAAATAATGAGAGCGATGCTCTAAGTGATAATTGGTTTTACTGTCATTTAAATTTAATGACTGGTTGTTGTGAGCCTGTGTGCCCGCTCCTGATCGGCTTAAGTTAGCAGGCGGAGAATACCGGAATGGCTTTTGATAGGAAAGTATCATTACTATTACCCGTTACGTCACTATTATTTATTAGGGATAAAAATGTCCCGAATTAAATAATATAGAGCGAAGCTCTGGTGATGTTTGGTTCAGCCAACATTTTATTGAATATTTAATTTCTTGTGGGCCTGTTGGCCCACCCTCGATCAGCTTGATTAAGTGATCCGAGCGTCTCCAGAAAGGCGATGCCCCGACGACGCGTTTGAATTTGAGGGTTGCGCATTAGTCCGCACGGCACCAAGTGCCCGAGCGACGATCGTACCCTAGTACCATCTGCGCCACTAGGCGAAGTGACTGTGCCAAACGCGGCCTGTGGGGCCCGAGGGCACCAAAGTGCTCAACCTCATTTTTTCGAGGGTAGTGCGACCAGCTTGGGTCTGAGTTTGAAAACTCACGGACCGGTGAATATTTCTATGTGACGCTCGGCGGGCTGCTAATTGGCCCCGCCGCGAGCTGCTACGTCCATTAACCCCGCACGATGAGCCGGGCAGAGGGTCACGATGACCCATAGGCCGGTAATCGTGGGTGTTAGAGGGAAGCCGCGATGACCCATGCAGATGGTTATGTGTGCATATTTATTGTCGGGCCGTGCGGCCCGTTACCATGCTTATTGCGCAGCCGAAGCCGCTCGACGCGCTTGAGCGAAATGATTAGAAGACGCTCGGCCCGAGTCTTGAAGACGTGCAGGGCCGGCTAAAGAGGAGACCATCACGGCTGAGGACCGTGAGACGAGCATCTCCACCTAGAGGCCGAGGGCCTAGAGGAGACCACCACGGTTGAGAACCGTGGGACGGGCATCCCCACCCCAGAGACCGATGGCCTAGGGAGAACACCTAGAGGCCGAGGATCTAGAGGCGAATGCCATGACAGAGAACCGTGAGACGATCACCCGTCATTCAGAGGCCGAGGGCCTAGAAGAGATCGTCACGGTCGAGGGCCGTCTGACGCCATCATTACATCATGACTGGCCCCTCGGCACGACATGATCATCATATTTGAAGACTGGCCTCGTCCCCGCGCTGCGCGGATGAGGACCGTTGCTTGGATTTCAGATCGGCCTCTCATTGCCGACATCATTACATCATGACCGGCCTCTCGGCACGGCATGATTATCTTATTTGAAGACCGGCCTCGTCCCCGCGCTGCGTGGAGGAGGACCGTTGCCGGATCTCAGATCGGCCTCTCATTGCCGACATCATTATATCACGACCGGCCCCCCGGCTCGGCGTGTTTTCCATACTTGAAGATCAGCCTCGTCCCCGCTCCTCGCGGATGAGTACCGCTGATTATCTCTCTTTGGATCGGCCCCAGCGCCGACGTCATACACAGCCACCGACCTCCTGGTACGGTGCCACCATCATATTTGAAGACCGGCCTTGTCCCCGCACTGCGCGGACGAGGACCGTTGCTTGATTTCAGGTCGGCCTCTCATTGCCGACACCATTATATCACGTTCGGCCTCTCGGCCCGACATACTTATCTTTTGAAGACCGGCCTCACCACTGCTCCTCGCGGATGAGGACCGTTGCTTGGTTCTTTATGATCGGCCCCCAGGCCGACACTCTTACATGGCCACCGGCCCCCTGGTACGGCGCCATTATCATATTTGAAGACCGGCCTCGTCCCCGCTCTTCGCGGATGAGGACCGTTGCTTGATTCTTTCATATCGGCCTCTCATTGCCGACATCATTATACCACGACCGGCCTCTCGGCTCGGCGTGCTTATCTTTTGAAGACCGGCCTCATCCCCGCCACCTCGCGGACGAGGACCGTTGTTTGATTCTTTCAGGTCGGCCTCTCACTGCCGACGCTATCATGTTATGTTCGGCCTCTCGGCACGACATATTTATCTTTTGAAGACCGGTTTCATCCCCGCGCTGCGTTGGATGAGAGCCGTTGCTCGGATAAATCGGCCTGACCGGACACTATTGTCATCTCCATTATCAGGACCGACTGCTCAGCGACATTATGATCATTGTATATCGGCTCCCAATGCCGACCTTCTTGAGTTAGCGATCGGGCTCACCCCTCCCTTCATGAGGGTGACCATCGCCTTCGCATGACATTATGTGTGACATCACTTGTGGTTATTCTTGGAACCGACGAACGTATTTTCCTCCCTCAAAAAAAAAAAAAAAAAAAACAAAAGAGAAGAAAAGAAAAGAAAAGAAAAAAAAAAAAGATGGGGAGAAGGGGAGACGAGATCCTATGAGAGAGGGAGTCTTGACGAGGTATGCCTGATCTTCCTTCGCCGCGTATGACGAACGTCTCCCGACGCGGAGGCTAGTAGGAACGTGGGGGGGGGCTAGACGTACCAAAGGGAACCTCGGCAAGATAAACCAGTTCCTCCCATGACCCGTGGTTCGATGAACACCTTCTGCTAAAGCAGAAGGCTAGTAGGGCCACGAGCATGGGACGACGAAGCAGGGAATCCCGACGTGGATAAACCAGTGACCTCCTTGCGATCGTTGGATGACCGAACGTCTTCTTCGAAGTAAGAAGATTAGTAGGACCACGACAGGGACGAACGAAGAATAGGGAATCCCGACGTGGATAAACCTGTTCCTCCTTGCGATCGTGGGATGACCAAACGTCTTCTTCGAAGTAAGAAGATTAGTAGGACCACGACAGGGACGAACGAAGAATAGGGAATCCCGACGTGGATAAACCTGTTTCTTCTCATAGTTGGGATGACGAACGTCTCCTGCGAAACCAGGAGACCAGTACTCACGAGACTTGGGAAGAACGAAGAACCAGTTCTTTACCGGAGTCTGTTGCGTGCCGAGTGTACACCGCTTAGCGGTCCATACATAGGACCACGGATACGGTAGACGAACGAAGACCAGCTCCATGGATCCGACATGAAGAACCAGTTCTTTACCGGAGTCTGTTGCGTGCCGAGTGTAAACCGCTTGGCGGTCAATACATAGGACCACGGATACGGTAGACGAACGAAGACCAGCTCCATGGATCCGACATGAAGAACCAGTTCTTTATCGGAGTCTGTTGCGTGCCGAGTGTACACCGCATAGCGGTCCGTACATAGGACCACGGATACGGTAGACGAACGACGATCAGCTCCCCAGATCAGGTAGGAGGGACATCGCCCAGATTTATTTCAGGCTCACCATTCTTTCCCGGATGGAGTCCTGGCAGACGATCGGCTTCTCACAGCCAATCAGGAGAGAGACTTGACACATCACCAGCACGGCCGAGGGCCGCGAGACGATTATCACTCACCGACAGGGCGATGGCCATGAGATGATCATCACTATTTTTCTGTACCACGATCGGCCCCTCAGCGCCATCGTGTCCAGGTTCACGGTTCGGCTCGCCCATTCCCTTCCAGGATGGCGACGACCGTCTTATGCAGTACGATCGGCCCCTCAGCGCCATCGTACCCAGCTCACGTTCAGCTCGTCCATCCCTTCCAGGGTGGCGACGAACGTCTTATGCACCACGATCGGCCCCTCAGCGCCATCGTGTCCAGGTTCACGGTTCGGCTCGCCCATTCCCTCCAGGATGGCGACGACCGTCTTATGCAGTATGATCGGCCCCCTCAGCGCCATCATACCCAGTTCACGGTTCGGCTCGCCCATTCCCTCCAGGATGGCGACGACCGTCTTATGCATCACGATCGGCCCCTCAGCGCCATCGTGTCCAGATTCACGGTTCAGCTCGTCCATCCCCCCAGGATGGCGACGAACGTCTTATGCACCACGATCGGCCCCTCAGCGCCATCGTGTCCAGATTCACGGTTCAGCTCGTCCATCCCCCCAGGATGGCGACGAACGTCTTATGCACCACGATCGGCCCCTCAGCGCCATCGTGTCCAGGTTCACGGTTCGGCTCGCCCATTCCCCTCCAGGATGGCGACGACCGTCTTATGCAGTACGACCGGCCCCTCAGCGCCATCGTACCCAGCTCACGTCCAGCCCGTCCGTCCCTTCCAGGGTGGCGACGAACGTCTTATGCAGCACGATCGGCCCCTCAGCGCCATCGTGTCTCTTTCACGTTCGGATCGCGCATCTCTTCCAGGATGGCGACGAACGTCTTATGCAGTGCGATCGGCCCCTCAGCGCCATCGTACCTGGCTTCACGGTTCGGCTCGCACATTCCCTCCGGGATGGCGACGACCGTCTTATGCAGCACGATCGGCCCCTCAGCGCCATCGTGTCTCTTTCACGTTCGGATCGCGCATCTCTTCCAGGATGGCGACGAACGTCTTATGCAGTGCGATCGGCCCCTCAGCGCCATCGTACCTGGCTTCACGGTTCGGCTCGCACATTCCCTTCAGGATGGCGACGACCGTCTTATGCAGCACGATCGGCCCCTCAGCGCCATCGTGTCTCTTTCACGTTCGGATCATGCATCCCCTCCAGGATGGCGACGAACGTCTCATATGCAGCACGATCAGCGCCCCAGCGCCATCGTGTCTGGCTCGTGTTCGGCTCGCCCATCCCTTCCAGGATGGCGACGAACATCTCTTATACAGCTCGATTGGCCCCTCGGCGGCATCATGCCTAGTTCACCTCCGGCTCCGCCCATGCCATCTCGGATGGGGGACCCGTCGTATGCAGCATGATTGGCCCCTCGGCGGCATCATGTCTAGTCCACCTTCGGCTCCGCCCATGCCATCTCGGATGGGGGACCCGTCTTACGCAGCGCGTCTGCTTCTCGGCGCTGACATGCCCGGGTTATCGATGAGAGCTACTGCTTCTATCACATCTTGCATTCCCTCTCTCATACATTACATACATACATTACATGCATACATACATTCATGCATCATACCTCATACATTCATACATACACACGTGCATCATGTTTTGACAGTACCGCGACGTCGGTTTATAGATGATGGACCTCTAAGCTTCTCCGATTGGAAAGCTCGAGTCAGAGTTCTTTACTCCCGCCTGATGCATTCAGGGGGAGTGTGCCCGTGGAGGAGCACCCTTCGCCCGACCCTGTCGGGAAGGGGGGTGCCTCACTGGTAGATTACGTTCAGGAGTGCAGACACTCACTCATATATGATGATTATGTGAAGACACAATTTCCAGCAAGACAGAGGAAGAGCGCAGGCAGAGTATATTTTCTCGAGCAGATTCGCGGGCTCACTACTCAAGAAACTGGGGGACTTGTGTTGGGATATATTATCCCGGCCTATTACTGTTCATGAGTCCAAGGCTTTACGTAGTACGGAGCCCGAGCAGCTAGGCCCATTTCGGCCCATCCGGCCCACTGTAGCCATTTGGGCCCACTCCGGCCCATGCGGCCCATTAGGGTGGAGAGCATCCCCTTCCCCTATTCTCTATAAATATAGGAGTTTCCCTCCATATTATGGATCCCTCTTTTTGGCTTCCTTCTTCCTCCTCCCTCTAGAATAGCTCAAATACTCCATTAATGGAGCTCAAAATGTACTATGTAATGGTGAGGAGAGTCCTAATGAGAAAGAGAGGGCTTGGACATTAGCCTAAAAAGTCCCGTGGTTTTCTCCCTTTCGGGTTTCCACGTAAAAACTGAGTGTTCATACATATATTTACTATATCGTGTTGGATTAAACTCAACAACTAGTGAGGGCAATTATTTGGATTAATTAATTAACTAATTCAATTAGGGGTAAAATTGGATGATTAGTCCTATTTAAAGAAAATCAAACATTAGGTCCTATTTTTGGAATAAACCCATTTTCTCTATGTTGAATCTCCTACTCATTTACTCCTACATGAGATGAAATGAAATGTATCCCCAAATTTTCGAAGTTTCTTCCAAAACTTTCTCAATCCTTTTGAAATGCATCTTTTCAAAATTCTCAAAATTTCAAAAACAATGCACTAATATTATATCTTTAAAATCACTAATGATTTCTCAATCGCATCAATCAAGTTTCAAGTTGCCACTTGTGAGAAACACAATTCTCTTTTATGTGCATGACAACTTAAATTGAAATCAAAGTCGGGAATCGATGTTAAATCTCTAGGAATCATTATTAAATCTATAGGGAGAAGGCTCAAAAGTGACACCAACATTATTCACCAAGTTCAAATTGAACACTCACGTTTTAAATGGATCAAATAAACACACAAGTCACTTATTTGGGCAACTTTTGGCCACCTAATAACATTTCAGTTTAACGGAAGCTTCCCACGTTAATCCTATCCGCCCAATTGTTCCTGCCTTATGCCTCCCCTTCGGGCTGCACCTATATCCCCCCATCAGCTTCCTCCGCTTCTGGTCTCTATCATTGAGTGTAATTTTCTTAATATACATCTCTCTTCTTGTAAAAAGGAAACATGTTTCTTAGCAGTCACTTGTGTGCTAGAATGTACTTCCTCCGTCCCAATTTGTTTTGCAAAGTCAACATTTTTTGGACAACCAATAATAAAAGTCAACCCTCCCTATGGATAATTAATTAATTAATTCAATTTTTAATAATTAAAATTTACATATTCAAAAAATACATTAAAATCTCTTCAAAGTTGTAAACTCCAAATTAGAAAATAATTAAAAATTGACATCCTAATTAAGTTAACAAAACGAGACTGTTTGACTAAGAAAAGTCAAATTTGCAACTCTTTTTGAGACGGAGGTAGTAGGTGATTTTAATTTGATGATGGGGCTCCAACAAATTAAACCCCTTCAAGCCATATTTATTGAGAGTTGTGTAGTAGGTCACCTTCCAAATCTAGCAGCGAGACACAAGTTGCTCACCGCTATGGTAATTCGGTTTTGCTCCTCCGCTTCCTCAATATGAATCCCGGCCTCAAAAAAGCACATCGATGACAGGAGTTTCAGCAATTACAGAATGAATCCAGTCAGAGAATACAACTTTTTCAATATTAATTACACATAGAAGGAGTATAATATTCCTTCCAATGGATTCATTATTCTACCAGTATAGCTCCAATACCTACAACTGCTACAATGTTTGATCTATCGGCGGTCAAGGAGCGTTTTTTACCTATGCGCAGGATGCTAACGACTCTGGCTTGGGATTCACAGAAAGAACGACAATAGAGATGTGGATGGATTCAACATCTATGCGTGTAGTTTATTGGGTCTCGTTTGTAGCTTCAGGAGTGGAATCAGCGATTGTTGATGACTTGACGTTGGGCTTTAACGGAAATGTTGGTCAGTGGCCAAATATTGCTCAAATGATGTGTTTAGGTGTTAAATTGGTCCATTTAAAAGTTGAGTGTCCAATCCGAACTTTGTAAATAACCCTGATATCCTTTTTGAGCCTTCTCCCTTAAATCTATTACAATTTGGGTACCAATTTTCAAGTCTTAATCCAAGTCAGTCCGGTTAGATTTTTGTAGTTTAGATTATGTTTGTTCGATTCAAAACTTCAAGCGTAAGTGTAACGTTGCAAATGCAGTTTAATAAAAAATGAGCTGGTTTATACGGAAAAATATGAAAATGGTATCAACACAGACAAAAGGATATATTGACTTAGATAATAATGACGAAGAAGTCAACATTAAGGATATTCATTCAAGTTGACATATTAAAATACTACTCCGTATATATTGCTATCTTTATATTTTTTTAGGCTAAAAGGTCAAATAGGTACATGAACTAATTAACTTAAAGTGTTCAAACAAGTCCAACCAAAAGGTCGTCTAGGGCTTCGCGCCGCTAGGAATTGGTCCGGTCTTGGCGATCAAACCAAGACGTGGTGGCTCTTCGGTAGCATCGATATCAGGAAGACGAGGCTTTAAAGCGTGGGAGGGGAGGTCCGACGGAGCAAGCACGAGGCTTGTGAGGTAAAGCTGGAAACGAAGAGGGAGGTCTTTTTTTTTTTTCTGTGTGCCAGGATGGAGACTATAGCGGACAGGTACCGGAGGATGAAGGTGGTGGAGAAGGAGACGGAACTGGACTGTGATGATGCCGAGGAAGGTGAGGAAGATTGGGAGGTGTCTCGCCCACGTTTCTCGGTGGTCGGAGCGTTGATCGCAGACCGGAAGATCAATTTTGCGGGGTTCAAGGAGGCAATGGAGACGGTGTGGCGGCCGGGCAGAGGGGTGGAGATCAAGGAGATCGAGGAAAAAAGGTACATCTTTAATTTTAATCACCCCGTTGATATGAAGCGTGCAGTGGAAGGAGGTCCATGGCAGTTTGAGAAGAATTTATTGATTGTTAAAGAGATAAAACCAACGGATATTCCTCATAAGATTACTCTAAATGAGGCTGAATTCTGGGTTAGGGTCATTCTTAATGTTCCCTATGGACTGCTGCATCTAGGGACTGCTAGGAAAGTGGGTAATTTTTTGGGAAAATTTGTGGATTATGATAAAAACAATTATGGGGAACATTGGAGGCCGTAAATGCGGGTTAGAGTTTGTATTAATGTGGAACTTCCCCTGAAGAAGGGTACAACGCTGAAGAAAGAGGGGGTGGGGGTATTGGGTCGACTTCCAGTATGAGAGGTTACCCAAATTTTGTTTTATTTGTGGGGTTATGGGGCATTCTGATAAGTTTTGCCCACTTTTGTATGAAGAGGGATTGATTTTGGAAAAAAGATTTGATGCATCTCTTAGGGCAGGTGGAGGAGTGAAGACCAGCCCTACAGGGAGGAACAAATGGTTGATTGGGGAAGGCTCGAGTTCGGGGAAGGGGAGCCAGGGGTGGTCGGGGAAGGGAAAGGAAGAGAGAGGATTGTGTGATAACGAAGATGTGATTGACTCTGGGAGTACTTCCAACAAGGAAGTGGTTTTGAAACAAAGCGAAGAATATTCAGGTGAGAAGCGTAGGCGCACTTGGTATTTTTCGATTGGCAATTTGGAGTTTTATTATATATATTGAATTAAATACAAAAAAACAACAAAATTAACTGAATCAGTTGAAATTTGTGTAACTTGATAAAATTCAGACTAAAAGATTTCATTTAAAATTTATTTTATTAATAAAATAAAGATAAAAGATATATGAAATGAATCAAGTACTTAAAATGATTCTTTGCAAAAGAATTAATCAATTCAATTTTTTAAAGGAAAAGAAACTTATACGGAGTACTAAAATACCAAAAGAATCAAGATTACAAGCGGCTAATAGCTCAAAATCCACCACTTATCTTCTAACAAACCCCATCTAATAATCTCAAGAAACGACTTACGATCAGACTGAGACGACCACCTCCAAAAAAGCAACACGAGTCTCTGACCAACAAACAGGCAACATAGAGCTATTTCTGACCTTTAAAATCACGGTACTCATTACCATTTTATTGGGTAAAGGTACATATATACCCCTATAGTATAGGTGCAGGAACAAATATACTCTTGTTCTATTTTTCGGAACAAATATACCCCTCATCTTTGAAAAAGGTGCAAAAATATCCTGTTCTTATACAGGAGCAAATTAATCCTTATTGACTTTAAATTAATAAAATAAATTTCAAAAACACCAAAAAATAAAAAAAAATCAAAATTAAAATATTAAAAAATTAAAAAATGTAATTATGTCCAATTCTCCCTTTTGTTTTTGTATCACAATTAAATATTTTTAGTATATAAATTCACTATTTTGTAATTTTGGTGTATTTATCATCATACAAAATATGTAATTTAGTACAAAAAATGCAAAAATAATTTTTTTACATTGCAACACATATGTTAGCACATTTTCCAAAGAATCTTAAATACATAGTAAAATTTTAAAATAATATTTATACTAAAAATATTTAATCTTTTAATTCTTTTTATATTTTAATTTCGAAATTTTAATTTTTTGGCGTTTTAGGAAATTTATTTTATTACTTTAAATTCAATAAGGATTAATTTGCTCCTTTATAAAAACATGAGAGATATTTTTGAACTTTTTTCAAAGTTCAAGGGTATATTTGTTCCAAAAAATAAAACAGGGGTATATTTGTTCCTGCACCTATACTATAGGGGTATATATGTACTTTTCCCCCCATTTTATTGGATTCATAATAACCGAAAGGTCTTCTACATAATTGAATAACTGATCAGGCATAGATAAGTTCTCCCAAAATTGAACGAAATTTTTCTCTAAACATACAGAAACTTCGAAGCAATTAATGATTGTAGAGATCTAAACACTTCTGATCATAGCTAAACTAAACAATTCAAGATTGCCACTTACACAAACAATCTGAAAATAAAGTAACTAGTCTATCGAAATAAAAATAAAATTTGAAATGAAATTAAAGCAAAACCACTCGTTCCCTCCATGGCAACGGGCTTAAGAGGAGGCCAGATCATCAACTCTTCATCTTCTTCCTCCAAGACCAAAAGATCGAAGGCCAAAACATATGATGTTGTAGTCACCATCTAAGATACCATAAGTGAAGCGGCCGCCACTCTAGGCACAATCCTTGCTCCAAGCATAAGGGATACGGCTATGGAGAGTTTTGTCAGGTCACTTTTGTACCTTTAATATTGATTGAGATTAGAAAATCCAAAGCCAAGAAACAAGCTTCTTCATTCCCATAGCAAGGGAAAAACTGGCTACATGTTGATACGGCAAAAATTTGTACCTGGCAAATGAGGGAGACCTTCCGCTTGCATTTGCAAACATGAGTAAATTACTCAAATAGGAGTAATAATAAACTTAATTGCACATTTAGGAGTTTAAATGGAACATATGTTTCGTAGGATCAAAAATAGCTTCATTGGACAAAAACACCCCTATTATAATAATTCATTTAATGCACACTGCACAAGGCCTGTGAGCCGAAAATTTGGGCATCGGCAAATGGAAAACACCTCTCGCCATGCGCCGACTGTCTCTAGCCATCCGCCCTCACTACGGCCTCCCACACCGGCGTCTCCATCCTCAGCAAGCCCACCATCATCGAAATCTGCCGCCACCGCCACTATTCTCCACCGTCGTTGCCGCCAAATGGTCACAATCGGTGCTGCCACTTTGGTCACCATCAACACCTTTATCAAAAATTCCGCCGGTGTCAATTTCGTGGCCACCGCTTCAATCCAGAGCACCGCCGCTGTCGTCACAACTCCGGCGCCATAGATGTACCACATATTTAACCTTGAAGACTAATTACAAATCTGCCATGAAAATGAATTTTCAAAACTGCCATAAAGTTGGCAAATTTATTTTGCAAATTTATACAAAACTGCCATCATGTTGGCAAAATATGAAGTAACAACTAAATGTTCAAAAAATCTCAAACTTTAATGGAACAATCACTTTAACAAATTCACCTCAAATCCTCAATCACAAATAAGAAATTAATGAAAAAATTAGAAAAATCAGTTTACACAAAACCCTTTTGCCATAATATGACTGCCATTGTAGATTTCTGCCATAAACTTGGCAGAATGTGTTGCCATCATACATTAACCAATTGAATGTCAAAACTCAAAACAACATATGAATAATAAAAAAATATGAAATTAGAAACACGAAGATAATAGTATAAACCAGAAACAATCAATTAACACAAAAGGTTTAATTTTTTGCCATAGTACGATTGTCATAATACACATTTCTGCCAAAAACTTGGCAAAAAGTGAAGTCATCTTCCAAAAATTTGGAAAATCGTTTTTTTAACCGAGAAATCAGAAATCAGAAGTTCAGAACGGCAAAATAGTTGTCCAAAAACAAACAAAATCAATGTAAAATCCCAGAAAATGGAAGAATACAAGAAAAATTAGAAAAATCAATGTAAATTTCAGAAATCAGAGGAATAGGGGGAGGAGGAGGAAGAAGATGATGATGATGATGATGATGATGATGATGATGATGATGAGAAGAAGAAGAAGAAGAAGAAGAAGAAGAAGCGAAGAAGAAACCTGGCAGCGATGTATGGAGAGGAATCGATGACGGTGCGCTGGGAGAACGTTCGATCTGCGGCGGTGCAAGGCGGAGAAGAGTCCATGGCAGCGGTGATGGTGCGCAGGGAAGTCAGCAACGGTGGCGTGAAGGAGGAGTACGATGCGCTGAATTGATGTGCCCAGGAGGAAGTGATCAATTTGTGCGAAGATGAAGTAGATCGAGGGATATAAATCAGGGGCAATTGGGGAATGCAATTTACCTATGTTTACAAATAGGAGTAAGATGGTCCTATTTAGGAAAAAAAACATACCCACTCCTATTTAAGAATTTTCCCTACTTTTTACTCCTATATGAGACAAATTCTCTTGCAAACATATATCCTAAAAATTCATTTTTATTATGAGTATGTTTGGCACAACTACCTGAAAAGATACTTTTGTGAGCTTTTTAATAACTGTTAGCTTTTGGTGACTGAAAAGATCTTAAAAAGAAAATATGGTAGCTGTTTGATAAAAAGCTAACTGTTTGATTTAGTTTGGTTTGGTATACAAGCTGTTAGGATTAATTAGCACTAAAAGTCACGAGTTTTTCTCAGATGCTACTCCCCGTAGCATCTCAAAAAAGATCTTTTAATTTTTGAAAAGCTCTTAAAAATTGTCATGTCAAACATACAACTAGAAGCTTTTAGAGACTTTTTGAACAATACAAAAGGTAGAAGACAGAAACTTATGCCTGCCAAACATAGCCTATGTCAACATAATGATAGAAAAATAGAGTTTATATGACGAAACTCATCATTTTAATCAAGTCAATTAGAAACTTAATTTTAACTTTATTAATTTTCATTACTACACAAATGGTTCTTTACCAACGAATCAATGCTTCATGTGCTTTACCAAATAAGCAACACAGTCGTCAATATAACTCTGATTTCTTTTCCCATCCCCAAACACTCCCTTCATCCTCCCTGCATTCGCGCGTATCAGCTCGCCTTCTTCACTCGCCACCGCGAACCTCACCGTGTCCGCCACCGCCTGACTCGTGAACGCCCCGTCGCTCCCGTTTCTCGGTATTTCCACCCCCACTTTCTTCCCCGCCAACAGCCTCGCGTTCAGCCCTTGATCGTTCATCACCGGCAGCATGATCAGAACATGCCCGCCGGCGAGCCCTTCTATCACCGAGCTCCACCCGCAGTGAGTCAGGGAACCCGCAATCGCCTCATGACTCAGTATGCTAGCCTGTGGGACCCACTGGGTAGTCACAACCCCTCTGACTCGCTCTCTGTACCCTCCCGGGAGCATCTTCTCGGCGTAATCTCCGGTTGATCCGGGCGGGTTTCGCAGCACCCAAAAGAAAGGCAGGCCGGATTTCTCCAGACCCAGAGCCAACTCGGTGAGCTCTGTTTGACTCAGCGTCGCCTCGGTCCCGAGCGCGACGTAAACCACCGAGTTGGCTCGTTGCTCGTCCAGCCACCCTTTGACCTCCGTCCACGCCGGGTCAGCGTCCGGTCCCGGTTCGGGAGCCAGAACGCCAACGGGTATCACCGGCTTCGGGTGATAAAGGTCGCGAATCAGATCGAGCCACTCCGGTTCAAACCCGACACAGGTTCTGAACAACACGAGATCGCTCCCGTCGACGGCCAAACCGAACCGGACGGTGTCCGGCGTACCGGACTCGTTCCCGACGGCGCCCTCTGCGTACTTGGCGATCTCATGCGGCCGGTAGGCGATGTCGGATTCGAAAGGTATCCAGCTGGGAACGACGCAGAGAGACTCCGGACTGGTGTCTCTCCCGCCGTTCAGTAAGAGGGACGGCGGGCCGGTGAAAGCCATGGTAGCGGCGGAGAAGATGCTGAAATAGGCAGAGGAGATGTTGAGCTTGGATGAGATTCCGGGAAGCCAATGGGAGGCATAGTCATAGACGATCCAATCTGGAGTTGGGGTTGTGGTTTCCAGAAAATGGAGCAATGGGGTTTGAAGAAGGTCGAAGGCAATCTTCAGGAACTGGGCTTTTTGGTGTGGAATGTCCATTGAAGACTCTGCTTCCGGTGGCAGATTTTCGACGGCGGGGAAGGGGAGGCTGACGAGGTGAATGAGGGGTGTTTTGGGTAGCCTGGAGAGGTTTCTTGGGGTGGAAAGGAAGGAGACTTTGTGGCCGGAGAGAGCGAGGGATTTTGATAGGTGGTGGAAGGGTAGGAGATGGCCAAAGGCCAGCCATGGAAACATGACTATGTGTAAAGAGGAAGAAGGAGAAGGAGGCTTCTCTTCGGTTTCCATGGAGGCAGATTTTGGAGTTGCTGTGCACTGCATTTTGAGTTGAGCGCAGAAATAAAAGAGATGTATAAATAAAGACAAAATACGATTGCAACTTGCAAGTACTCCTGTGTTCCTCCCAAGTTTTTGTTTGACATAGGTGAGTTAAAACCAAATATAGAATCAAAGTAAAAAAGTTCGGTTCGATTCGATTTCACACTCCAAAACTTGGAACCACGGTTTGATTGGTTCGGTTTGTTTCGATTCGGTTTCGATTTTTTCGGTTTTTTACCAAAAAATTACGGAGTATATCATTCGATTTAAAATTGAGATTGGTAAAAAAAAATGGATATAGCAAGGACATATTACATATATATCAAGTCTGCTTTGAGATAGATAAAAAAAATGGGATCCCATTTAAAATGGATATCCTGTATTACACTTGTTAGAATATCATTTGAGGGATCAAACATATTACATAAAGAATGCAAGCATACTACAACAAATAAAATAAAAATGAAAATAAATTAATATGGGATAAATTATATGAGTATGCGAGAGAGATAAAAGTATATAAGGAGTATATTATTAATTTACATTGTTTGTGACTAGTTCAAAAAAAAAACTCATGATTATATACGTTCTATGTGATATAGTTGAGATGAATATTTATTGTTTCATCAATATGAATTCTTTAAGTTAAATAAAAATAAAAGTTAATTAATACTAATAATTAAGTAGTAAAAACATATTATCATCATTCAGTATAGCTAATTATTACAGGCAATGAATGTGTAAATGAATTTATACACTAAACTTAACTAAACATAACACAAACATTATTTCTCTAGCTCAAGAAACTCAAAGACTATTGATGATATTAGGATTAGTTAGGATTAATGCTTAACAATTGACAAATAAATTTTATATTTTAGTTAGTTTGGTTTGTTCGGTTTGGTTTTGAAGGGTAAAAACCAAAACCGAACCAAACAACTACGGTTCGGTTCGTTTTTTTACATTCGGTTTCGGTTTGTTAGCGGTTCGGTATAATTTGATTCGGTTTTTGGTTTTCGATTTTTCGGACACAGCCCTAGTTTGACAGATATGTTTAATGGGTCGCTCATAATTTAAAAGGAAATCAAATACTATGTACTCCGTATTAAAAAAGATTTAAATTTACTTACGGAGTATATGCCAATTTTGTCTTTAACGTAAAAATGGTTGGCTTGTAGGCCTTGTACGGTGAGAGATATTTCTCATACTTCTAACTTCCAACTATGGTAGGCTACTTCCAACTATGGTAGGCTTTGTAGTGTGAATACTTCTCATACTTGATACTTCTAAGTTCTAAGAATCTAAGTATATCTACATATATCATAGTTGAAAGTTCCTTCTCTGTGTTGTGTTGTTCTAAGAATCTAAGTATATCTAGTTATCTACATATATCATAGTTGAAAGTTCCTTCTCTGTGTTGTGTTACTCTGGAATGTCTTGTTTTTTTAATTGACATTGACTCGTTTTACAACGTCCTTGTTTAGGAGATTATTTTAGAATGAAATTGAAGATGATGTGAAAGAGGTCATTATAATGGGTAGAGCAAATCACATGAAAATAATGAGTCGGATTTTTTATATTTGTAAATACAGATATCATGATTGAGTATACGGACACTTGACGAAGAAGATTAGAGAGTTTGATGATTGCTTGACATTTCTAATGTGGGAAGCCTATATGATACAGGTTGTACGCCGGTGACAAATTTGTAATTTTTGTGAAAATCATGGTTTTTTCCTAAATGAGCATTTATGCAATTTTGATGAGCATCGAGTCTGTTCTTTTGAGTATCAGTAGGAGTCTAACAATGAGCATCAGTGATCTCTGTTTCATACTACATATCTTCTAATTCAATTTCTTTTTATTATTTTTTCGTTTATAAAAAATTGTTAAATTATGTTTGTAATCAATTTTATTTAATTTCAATATGTGAATCTAATGTAGTATTGGGGTGTAAAGTGTGTGGCGGAGTGGTGGAGGATAAGGATCATGCTTTTCGGATTTGTGAAAGAGCAAAAGAGGGCTGGAGAAAGGTGAGGGTGGATCTGGGCAGTCCGGCAGAGTCGGTAAATGCGTGGTTCTGGCGGCATCTCGGTGGACCGAATGGGGAAGACCGATGTAGGTTTATAGCTATTTTATGGAGTCTGTGGAAGAGGAGAAATGGATGTGTCTGGAAGGACAAATGGCAAGGAGCGGCGGGTGTTATCAACTCAGCGGCAGGAATTATCTCGGGATGGAGAGATGCACAAGGCTCTGAGACTGAGAGTACAGATCGGGCTAGGAGAGAAAATAATTCCTTGACAGTTTGGAAGCGTTCGCAAGAGGGTGTTGTAAAAATTAATGTGGATGGGGCGGTGGATGAAAATACACATACTAGGTCCTGGGGATGGGTGGCACGGGACCATTATGGCAATTTCTTGAAGGCGAAAGGGGTCTCTGAAGCAGCTAGCTGGTCAGTGGTGGAAACAGAAGCTATGGGTGTTCGGGATGCGTTGATGGGAGCGGCTGCGGCAGGCTGGTCGCATGTAGAGGTGGAAACTGATGCTCTCTCGGTGGTCCATGCCTTAAAAAATGAAGGAGGTTCTTCTTACCTTTTCCTTATTCTGGATGATATTAGGCATTTGGTGCAAGATAAGAGTAATTTTAGCGTCTCTTATTGTAAACGATCCGCGAATCGTGTTGCCCATGCTTTAGCAAGAGCACATGTGTCTATCTCGGATCAGTTCTGTTGGTATGATAGTATTTCTTATTCTATTGTAATTCTATTGTAAGCCTGTTGGCACATGATTTGGTGAATTAATATATCTGTCAGTTGGAGTTCAAAAAAAAATGTGAAACATTTTAAAGTGAACATAAACCAGTACCAAATGAACATACATAACTTACAAGATGAGTATCAAAAAATTCAAAAACTCATTTGTGTATGCTCATTCATTATGGGCGTTATACTCATTTGAGTTTAACATAAACTCATTTTCAATGTGCTCAATATTAATTTGTGTGAGTTTATTTCTTTTAGGTGTATACTTGTTAGAGCAAGAAATTGACAATTTATGTTGCATTAAAGAGGGTTGACCACAGAAGTTAATGATACGTTCATGAGGCCTAATGACAATTATTGTAACGTTTTTTATGCATTATTCGGCTCTTTAATGTGATTAAGGAAGATATTAATTGTAATTGACCAGCCTTTATGACAGATTCGAAATCATCATAATGGGCGGCCAACCCGTCAGTAACGAACGAAACTATCATGAGAGCATTAACTACCCTTCCTATAAATAGGACATCCCCTATTGTACTACAGTAGCTACACATTCGAATAATACACTGAACTTCATTCTTATTTGCTTAGTTGTCATCTTCTTCATTGTTCTTGTACGAGACCCTACCTACATATAATTTTCTTTTTAAATAGTTTTAGCTTATCAAAATTTTGCTTAAACAATACTCATTGGAGTTTAATATAAAACTCATTTGAGATCAATAACAGCAAGGATTCCTCAGCAATGAATTAGAATCTCTTTGTCTCCCAAAATCACAAGATCAAATAGCAAAACTGTGTCAGAAAAAAGAGAAAAAGAAAAAGAGTGGAAAGAAAGATAGAGGAGAAGAGGTAACTACGCCGGAGCCGCTGTTTGAGCGAGTGGTGAACGTCGGCGGTGAGAGGCAGATCGACCTGTGAGGAGCAGGGGCGAGTGGTGAGAGGCGGCGACGAGCATCTAGCTGAAGGAGAAGGGGGTGAATGTTGGCGACGGGTAAGCCTGGTGTGAAGTCAGATCGAAGAAGCAAGCGAAATCAGAGAAGTTTGGTGCGAAGCTTTGCGCGAAGCCGGAGCGTAAAAGCTTGGGGCGAAGGCCAGGTTGAAGAAGCGCAGAAGCCCAATAAAATCCGATTGTACCGTGCGCACTGTAGAGCCAGCTATAGGATGTATTTTACCTCTAATATGTAGGGATGGCAATGGGGCGGGTTTGGGGCGGGGGTACACTCCCCCATTCCCCGCCCCATGTCTAAAAAGTCCCCCCCATCCCCGCCCCATCCCCCGTTACTCTCAGACCCGCCCCATCCCCGCCCCATCCCCGCCCCATCCCCGTTGTCCCCACGGGGGCCCGCAGGTGCCCCCATATAGATTTAATTTATCGTATTTGCATATACTTTTAATCCATTATAAAAATATATGGTGCAGTTCCAGTGAGAACGATGTTTAACGTGAGAACGTGAGCATACTCACATTTAATCCAATGTGATACACAATAGAGCCCTTCTAATGCACATATTGACTTTGCTCAATACTAGCTAATATAAATAATCACGGTGCCACTTTTGTAAATATTATGTTTGATACAAAAAATTGCATTGTGCGAGCCTCATTGTGCGTCACATTGGGGGTAAATGTGGTGTTCCCATGTTCTCACGTTAAGCATTGTTCTAATTTGATCCTAAATCTATATATATCTACACACACACGAATATGCAACACTGAAGTATTGTTAAAAGTTTAGACCGCCGATTTTAATAATTCTTCAATTTGAATGAGTTTTGTGAATTGAAGACAGTTAAAGTTAAAATATAAGTAAACATATTATCATCATGTACGTCGTTCCAAAATTTTCAACAATTATAATACAATTAATTACATGTTACATATAAATGTAGGTGTGCTTATTTACTCACTTTCTCACTCTTAAAACTCATACGGAGTATAACATTTATGTAAAATATTTTTAATCATTACTAACTTATTATTATTCTTGTATAATATGTATTAATTCACTAACCATGACTAAAAGGTATACAATCATGTATGTCTATACGTATATGTATATGTATATGCGTTTGTTATATACAACACATAATTTAATTTAATATGTTTGTACATTATTTATATATGTGTATATATATGTGTTTGAGTATATATTTATAACGGGGGGCGGGGCGGGTGTAGCAATTCCCGTCACCCGCCCCATATTTTAACGGGGTAAAAATATCTCACCCATCCCCGCCCCCGCCCCACTCCAAGCCCCGCCCCATCCTTCCCCCACGGGGCGGTTCCCCACGGGTCCCCGTCCCATTGCCATC